TGCGGGATGGGGCAGAGCCGGGGGATGCGGGATGGGGCAGAGCCGGGGGATGCGGGATGGGGCAGAGCCGGGGGATGCGGGATGGGGCAGAGCCGGGGGATGCGGGATGGGGCAGAGCCGGGGGATGCGGGATGGTAGTGGGAATGGAGGAAAGGGTGTGGGCAGAGCCGGGGGATGCGGGATGGGGCAGAGCCGGGCGGTGCGGGATGGGGCAGAGCCGGGCGGTGCGGGATGGGGCAGAGCCGGGGAATGCGGGATGGGGCAGAGCCGGGGGATGCGGATGGAGCAGAGCTGGGTGGTTGGGAATGAGGCAGAGCCGGGGGATGCGGGATGGGGCAGAGTGGGTGTCCTCTGCCAGCTAGGCCAAGCACCCAACAATCAGAGCTGTCAGAACTACCCCACAAAAATCACAATTACAACTCTAAAACCTGATTTTGAAAAAAATATTTCTCTTTTCTCAGGATCCTGCAGAAAATGAAAACAAGCTTTTCCCCTCAAGTACAAAATTGACCAAAATAGTGTATCTGCTCAGGTACCATAAATAAACTGCATCCAGAAAGTGGAACAAGATCTTTCATGTAATCTCTACAAGGAATTTGGGTGTCATTCTCTGATTTAAGAAAAAAAAAAGCTGAGAATTCTCTGACCTTTATCCCAGGTAGCTGCCTGCTGTCACACCACTGCCAGCACAGCATGTTTGACAGCAATTCTTACCAGCTTCATTTTCTCCTGGTGTGAAGAAATGAAGTTAGCAGCTCAGGAAATGTGGGTATTTATACAATTTTTAAAGACACAAATTTTTTTAAGACACACCTTTTCGAAAGTTCTCTCACAAAACACCCAGCATATTCCCCTGAAGTACTTTCAACAATGGGTAGATCAGAAGTAAAACATTTCCCATAATATCCAACTACGTAAAATCAAATTCACAAGATATTACAAAGTAATTGTGTATTTTCAGTAACCAAAAATACTGAAGAGCTGCTAAGCCTCCAGTGCATGATACATTTAATATGATAACTTAAAAAACTTGAGACTGATTAAATGGGGACTTGGTTAAATTCAAGTGAAGCCCTGGCAGGAGTGGAAGCTGAGAGATGCAAAGCCACCCTGGTCTGGAGACATTTAACCCCACGTGAGAACACTGATTTCACTGCGTTCTGCAGCTGTTCCTGCCATGCTCTCGTAAACCATTTTAAGTATCTGGATTTCAGAGGAAGCTGTTTCAAGCGAACACTTGTGCTCTGACATCTGTGATTTACATGCACGGAATTACCCCAGCGACTGGGTCAAGTGACTGTGTGCCCAAGTGCACGGATGTGCTGGGGAGCACAACGGGCTGGGAAGCTGCGGCACAGCCGCAGGGAATGCTGCGGCGCTGATTCGAGTAGTTTCCTGGTGAATGTGAAATGCTATGGGGTGAGCAATGACAATCAGCTCCTGGGATGAATGAACCCATTTGCCTCCCCTGAAATAACTGAGCGCACAGGGCGTGAAATTGTAATTTTAAGAAATTTAGCACAGTGAGAGCAAGTATAAAAATACCTTTTAGATTAATTAAGTGGCTAAGCACACTTACAAATTATAAAGATTTGACAGTTTTAGGAGTCCTGTTGCTCATCGGTGAATTGTCCTGCAGCCACAACCCCCAGAATCCCCCTTTCAAGGGTGCTGCCTCCAGCTGCCTCTGGATGCTCTTCCCAGTTGCTGCCTGTGCCCTGCACATTGACAGCCCAGCACAACTGCATACAGCAGCTGGAAATAAAACACAACTTGATAAAATTAACCTCAAAATGAGCTGGTAGAACTTGGGTGAGCACGGGACAAGGTCTAAGGGCAGTGGTGCATGAAGGAAAGTGTTGCTGGTCCCAGAACAGTGTCAGGGTGGTGAAACCTCCTCAGTATCACCCTCTGCAACCTTGGATGGTGTACCAAAAAAAAAAATAAATCAGAAAACAGTTGCAAAAACTGTTCTACATACTGAAGCAACATTTCCCTGATCCTTCTCTGTTTATTTTCTTGTTGTAGGGTCTTGCTTAGTTTTAGTACGAGATCCCCAACATTCTTCAATCATTGGCGACGATGGAAATAAATGCATTAGGGTAACATTTTTGTGTCAAGATGCCAAAAAGTCTTCCTGAATTTTTAATCATTTTTCAGAGGAATGCGGGATCAGTTTCTGACAAACTGTATTTCTCAGAATGTAAATACTGTAGTGCTGTTACAGGGGGTGAGGGTTTGGGCTGCTACAGGGCCTGTGGGCACTGCTTGTGCTTGGTGCTGGTGTTGTCAGTCCCTTGAGCCGTGTCCAAAGGACCAGTGCCAGACATTTTAAGAAATGTCACATGCAGAGGAGGGTTCAGACTGTTCTGAACAAACTACCTGAAATCCACAAGCAACAACTACCTCCTCAGTGTGCAAGGCATGCCCCCCAGGTGGTGAAGAGGGATCTGCAGGAATAGTGGGACTCCCAGCAGTGGGAATGGCAACAGGGGTTCCCAGGGCTTTGCAAAGGCAGCAGGCTGGGGAGGACCCTCTGCATGGAGGCAGATGTTGCTTTTTGTTGATGGAAGCCCTGGGGTTTGAGTTCAGCCCAGACAGGCAGCTGACCCTCAGAGAGGAGAGGAAGGTCTGTGGAAAATGGTGACTGCAAGGGTCTGACACAAGCCCGCATCCCAACAATGCTGCAGTAACACCTGTGGCAGAAGCCACATCCCCACACCTGAGGAGCTGCTGGTTTTTGCCCCATGTGGGCTGCTCTCACCACCTGCCTGCTGCCCCATGGGCTGTGGGACTCCAGTTTTGTTCACACAGCTCCTGGCCAGCAGCTCAGCACTGTTAGAAACTATGCCCTTGGGTTGAGTCATACTTTAACCAGTCTGTCCAAACGCACACGAGGTCTCAGACTGGTGCAAACAGCGCTGCTGTGGAAGGTTTCTGTGGAATTTCCACCACATGTACTGGCTGTCTCACAAGTGGATGGTCTTCAGTCTTCATTGCTTGTCCTCCCCTTCCTGAAGGAGAAACCTGCAGAGCTGGCTGGCTCTGCAAAACCCAACAAGCTGGAAGTGAAGTGCTGCCACAGAGAACACAGTGAAAATCTGCAGCAAACCAGTTGTTTCTGGGATAACTGATGGAGTACCACTTTGTGAATTCAACAGTACACTTTAAAAACTCACAAAACATTCCACAGCTTTGTTCTCTGTGTCCTGTAGCTACACCTGCTCACTATTCTGTTAATTACCTTTTTTCTGGTCAATGTCCATGAGAGTATTACTACTTGGAGCACAGGAGTATATAAATATCTCAAAAAGAGCATTAAAATAACTTTTTCAGTTCACCATTTGCTTTCAAATGTCTCAGTCTATATCATGATTTCAGCAAACAGACCAAGGCTGCTTTCAGTATCATCCTGGGGCTCCAGCTCTCTGCTGGGATCTGCCTGCTCCTGAGCAGTCCGTCTCTTTCTTCTGTGCACATACACAGAGTGCCTCTTCTCTGGCCCCTTGGGAAACAAGGTCTCTGCAGGGACAGCAGCTTCCAGAGCCAGCTCCAAGCCTTTGTGGAATCTAGACAGAAACAAGTCTGTAGTTACTGTTTTTATAGATTTGCTCAACATCTGCAAATTAGTCTGAGAAACTAATGCTTTTAGAATGTAATCAAAACATGCAAGGGGAGAAAAGAGGTTACTAACATTTTACTTAATACTGAAGAAAAATTAGATGTCATGAACAGAACTGGTGTATTCTTACAAACCTGTCAATCCTCCTTATGTTCTCTTCCATTTTCTGATTGGCTACATGTACCAGAAATTCAATATATTCTTCAGAGACCATCAATCTCCCTTTGTGGCTCAATGGAACTTCTAAGCAGTGAGTGCTCCGCACAGCCTGAAAACACACACATGATTTACCTGGAATAAAGTTTTTTAGTTTATGAAGGTTATTTAAATAATGTAGGGAGTTCATTATAGTAAAAAACCTGCTTAACCATATGATTACTTAGGTTGCTGTCACCTAAAGCAGCAAGCTATTTCTTTGCTATAGCATGCCCTGTGACAGCTCTTCAGCACCAGTCAGGTCTTGGCTGGTACAAAAATAAAGGTTAATGTAACAATATGACTTCATTACATCCCTTACAGTGCCAGAATCCTTACCATTGTAATTTTTCCTCCTCTGCCAACTGTAATACCAGAGTTCCTGAATCCAGAGTCAATAGCCACTGAATGCTGCAGAAAAAATAAATGCTTAAACAGGTCTTGTACACCTTCACAGCAAAAAATATTTATGGACGTGTTGCAATGCAGCGTACAATCTCAATTTTGCAAAAAACGTATTCAAATAAACTACCCAGACTTATTCAAAAATAGTTACATTAAAACACTTTTTAAGATCAAACCCACAAATGGAGGGTGTTTTCCAGAGGCCCACGGTGGATCCTGACTGAATCCATCAATGCACAAGGCATGTTACGTCTCTCTAGGCACTGAACTATTTTATCCCATGAGCTGGAACTTCACAGACAGTTGTGCCACCCTTTGACAACGACAGGGCAGCTGCACTCTACACGAGCCCCTCAGCCCTTCTGCACTAACCCCAAAACAAGCCCAGCATGGCACACATTGCTCTCCGCAGTCACACTGCAAAAGCAGAAGGCAAAGGCATCATTCAATGCACTGAAAATGGAGCCAAATGGCCTGGCTGGTAGCAAAGCACCATGTAAAATGCAGCCCCTTCAGGCAGGGAGAGCAGCCCAGGTCCCTCAGGTAGCGCTTCATGCAGCAGTCTCTTCGGCTCGAAGGCTGAATTGCAGGTGAGTCTTTTTTCTTTCTCAGTACGGTAAAACTCTCACGGAGTTTAAAGCTGTGTTTTTTCTTCAGCTGACTTTACTACCCTGGTTATTAAACACACAGCGCACCTGGGACTGTTTCTAAGTGCAACTGCTTACCCAGGAGCCAATACTTTTATTTTTGCAGGCAAGAATGTAACAGAACAATGCCACGTTGTACTTGACGTGGCTTTACCAGCAGCTGTGCATCCTGCAGCTCCCGACACAGCACGTGAAGAACAAATGGTTCAAACTTGAACACAACATCACCAGTGGCTTTCTTGAGTGCCGTCATCTGGAAAATACACCAAAATATTTATATAAAAGTCAGAGCACTTCCTCTTGTAAGAGTTAACAACACCCTACTGCATCCTCCATGGCCTGAAATTTTATCAAGTTTTGCTTTGCTGGAACGAATACTAACGAAAACAAATATTCTGGAGGACACTTCTGTGCATGTGTGAGAATGTATATGTATGGTAAAGTGAACTACGAATTGAGTGAGAAAATGCTCATCTTGCAACTGCCTCTTTTGTGGGACAAAGCAATTTATGCAACGAGTAGATTATTTTTAAAGCATACTAAAAATTAAAAACCTCGCACTATAGATGGTTTTAGTTTTGGGGTATTTAATGATACTAAATTAACAATGCAGTATAAGAGATTCCCTGTTACACCACTTTCAGGTGTCTGTCTGCTAGCCCAGCAAGCTGGGCTCAAGAGATTTTTTAATTCAAGGGTTTTAAATATGACTCCAGACAGCAAGGAATTATATAAGTTTCTGGAATATCAGCTGCCTTTATAATTATGCAGAGAATTTGATACTGAATTTAAAAGCATTGTCTTTATATGGGTCTGAAGAATTTACTAAGCAAGACATCTAAGGAAAAGTTAATTTTGAGAGTAGGGTATCAATTAATCGCAGTAGCAGAGATAAAAGCCCTTTCACATGACATGTTTTCCATGACACCAGGAGCATTTCCATGACTGAATATAAAGGCTGTATCTCACTGTGCCCGTACCAGATCGCCTTTGGCACATGGGTCATGCGTTACCAGGAGCCACGTGCAGTTCTTCTTCTGGATCCCCGTGCCGTCTGTGTCCTAGTGATGGACAGAAACCATTACAATGGCCTGGCAGCGCGGTGAGGTTTAATCTCGTGCTGCTACAAAAACGGTCCTTGCAAATAAAGAAGCATCCCCTCGAAGCAAGAGCCCATTCACACTGCGACCAGACTCCCCGCCCCCATCCCCCTGCCTGTCCCTCCCCGTCACGATCCCCCTGCCTGTCCCTCCCCGTCACGATCCCCCTGCCTGTCCCTCCCCGTCACGATCCCCCTGCCTGTCCCTCCCCGTCACGATCCCCCTGCCTGTCCCTCCCCGTCACGATCCCCCTGCCTGTCCCTCCCCGTCACGATCCCCCTGCCTGTCCCTCCCCGTCACGATCCCCCTGCCTGTCCCTCCCCGTCACGATCCCCCTGCCTGTCCCTCCCCGTCACGATCCCCCTGCCTGTCCCTCCCCGTCACGATCCCCCTGCCTGTCCCTCCCCGTCACGATCCCCCTGCCTGTCCCTCCCCGTCACGATCCCCCTGCCTGTCCCTCCCCGTCACGATCCCCCTGCCTGTCCCTCCCCGTCACGATCCCCCTGCCTGTCCCTCCCCGTCACGATCCCCCTGCCTGTCCCTCCCCGTCACGATCCCCCTGCCTGTCCCTCCCCGTCACGATCCCCCTGCCTGTCCCTCCCCGTCACGATCCCCCTGCCTGTCCCTCCCCGTCACGATCCCCCTGCCTGTCCCTCCCCGTCACGATCCCCCTGCCTGTCCCTCCCCGTCACGATCCCCCTGCCTGTCCCTCCCCGTCACGATCCCCCTGCCTGTCCCTCCCCGTCACGATCCCCCTGCCTGTCCCTCCCCGTCACGATCCCCCTGCCTGTCCCTCCCCGTCACGATCCCCCTGCCTGTCCCTCCCCGTCACGATCCCCCTGCCTGTCCCTCCCCGTCACGATCCCCCTGCCTGTCCCTCCCCGTCACGATCCCCCTGCCTGTCCCTCACCGTCACGATCACCCTGCCGTCGCACGAGCTCGTGGTGCAGAAGCGCTCGCGCGCGTTCAGGAGCCGCACGAGCTCCGCGGCCCGCGCGTCCAGCGCGCGCTTCCGGCTGGGGTCGGGCTGCGCGAGCCGCTGCGCCTTGCGCCGCGCGAACGCCGCCATCGCGGGGGGACGGCGTCCCACGCCGGACAAACCTCGGCGCGCGGCCGAAACCGGGGCGGGACCGGCAGCGGAACGGCCCCGCCCCCGTCCGCCGCGGCGCTCCGCAGGTAGGCGGTGGGCACGGGGGCTCCCGGGGGCTCCCGGGCGCTCGTCCAGCGGGACGGGCCGGGAAGGCAGCGGCTCTGCGCCACCCGTACGAGGCTGCACAGCCACGGCGGCACGGCCGGGCTACACGGGAGCGACGGCTACACGGGAGAGCCTCGAAGGGGCGGGGCCTGACCGCAAGGAGCGCTTCCGGGGCACGGCGTGGTCGCGAGGCGGTGGAAGGGGCGGGGCCTGCCGGCGGAGGAGTGTTTGTGGGCGGGGCCTGTCTACACAGGCGTGTTTGTGGGCGGGGCCTGTCTACACAGGTGTGTTTGTGGGCGGGGCCTGGCGGCGCAGGTGTGTTTGTGGGCGGGGCCTGGCGGCACAGGTGTGTTTGTGGGCGGGGTCTGACTGCACAGGTGTGTTTGTGGGCGGGGCCTGGCGGCACAGGCGTGTTTGTGGGCGGGGCCTGGCGGCGCAGGTGTGTTTGTGGCGGGGCCTGGCGGTGCCAGCGGCTCACGGGGCGCTCCGGCCGGGCCCGGCCCTGCGCCCCTCGGCCGGCGGTGGGCCGCAGCCCGGGCCGCGCTTCCCGCCCTCCCCGCGCAGCGTCCCGGAAGGTGCTGGGGGCCCTGCCCGCCTCTGCCCCGTCCCTTATCGCAGGATCGATCCGCACTTCGGCCCCGCGCCGTGTGCCGAGTCCAGGCCGTGTCCAGGCCGTATCCAGGCCCTGTCCAGGCCGTGTCCAGGCCGTGTCCGCCACCCGAACAGCCGCCAGGGCTCTCACTGTTTCTTTTGGCAGATCCTCATGGCAGCCACCAGGAGCGCGATGAGAGCGGTCCGAGTGTTTGAATTTGGTGGCCCTGAAGTGCTTAAACTGCAGTCAGATGTGCTAGTTCCTGTTCCAAAAGAAAACCAGGTATATGTGAGCTCTGTGAAGGAAAATAGCGATCATGAATGCTAACAAGTGCCTGCAGGACAGAATGAGAGGCACGGCCCAGAGCCCGACACCTGGAGTACGTGAGTTTGGTCAGTGTGTGCACACTGCTTGAGATACCATGCTTAACTTTATGCTGGGCTATGTATTCCACGTCAGGATTTCCCTAAAATTAGCTTCGCTTTGACGCTGGGTTCTTACAGAGGCTGTGTGAGAATTCAGTAAAACTGCTACAACACCATGCTGTGAATTGAAGAGCTAAATCTTTTTAGTTATTGCTTAAGAAGTGTCTTTTCTTTTAGGTACTAATTAAAGTGCATGCCTGTGGGGTAAATCCTGTTGATACATATATTCGTTCCGGGACTTATGCCAGGAAACCAGCTTTACCCTACACTCCTGGCTCGGATGTGGCTGGGGTGATTGAAAGTGTTGGGGAGCACGTGACGGCGTTCAAGGTATTTACACACTGGGTATAATTCACTGTTGTTTAGTGGGTCCTCTGGCTGATTGCTGTGCTGCTGCACCTGGTTTCATGGCTTATAATCACGTAATCCCTTCAAGGGGGGAAGCCCCTTCACGCACTGGTAAAAGCACACAGTGGGATCCCAGGCAAACCAGTGCTGGTGGGACTGTGGGGAATGCTGTGCCCTCCTGAAGTTCAGAGGTCTCAGGAGAGGCACTGCAGTCTGTCTGCTTAAAGCAGTGATATCTGCTGTGCAAAAGTTGGGGTCTGGAGCTATTTTTATGGCGTTGCAGAAAAGGTTGAGATTGGATGCTTCTTGCTGGGGGTAGTAATTTCAGGCAGAACGGAAAATTTTTCTGTAAAGTATTTGAGAAGTGGAAATTGCTTACTTATAAAGCACCATAAATTCTATTATTTGTTGCTGAAATTGTTCAAATACTGTATTACTCCTGTCTAGTACTTTTACTTGGATTTCTCAGTGGAAAAGTCTTGGGACAGGAGAAGGCAAATATCAATTTGCTAAAAGATATCTATGACATCAATTTATTTTTTTAATTGGTTCTCCCATTTAAGTCATTAGACATTTGGTCCCAAACCAAAATCAAAATTGTAGGTAAAATTGGGCTGGAATTTCCTGATTTGGAATTTATGTAACAATTTTGGGAGGTCTGAGAGCTAGGGTTATCAAGAGAGAAGAATCATCTTTGTTCATATTTTCTTATCAACAGCTTGCTGTATCTGCTCTGTGTGACTTTTTGCTTCCTCTGACAATTGTGATGCTCTTGGCTTGAATGAGAGAGAGATGTCTTAGGGTGTATTAAGAGGATACATATTTCCACATTTAAATAATTTAGAAATGTTTCTTTTCTGTTTGTAAAAGCTTTTGAGGTTTTGCATTTGTAATCTGTGGATGGAATTCCTGACTTCAGTCAAAGTTGATGAAGGTTCATATTAATGAGGCAGGTTTGTGTGTTACACTGCAGGGTGGGGTTATAATTATGATACTTAGATTCAAGTATAAGAAATTATACAGTTTGTGTTGCATTGATAGTATGTATCAGAATTTTTTAAAATTTCTTTGACAAATGTAACTGGTTATTTTTGATAGAAGAGGTTTTAGCAATAGCCTAAACCTCTGTAAATTTCATCTTAGTGTTTGTTAAGGAAAAATAAGGGAAATGATTGATTTCTGTGTGTTTCCTCCCTCCGTTCTAGAAAGGTGACAGAGTTTTCACCCTTGAAACACTTTCTGGAGGATATGCAGAGTATGCAGTTGCTGCAGCCAGCAGAGTCTTTCCTCTGCCAGACAAACTGGACTTCAGGCAGGGAGCAGCGATCGGAGTGCCCTACTTCACTGCCTACCGGGCCCTTGTCCAGAAGTAAGGCACAAAATCCCTGTTTGTGCACTTTACTCTCTGGTGTTTACAATACCAAAGTTCGTATTTTCACTGTCCTTTGACAGGGGAAGGTTGGTGAGAGGGAAATGTTTAAAAACATTGCACTGATGCAATTGTCAGATAATTGTCATCTAGAAGCTTGTGACTGTGTTTTCCTGTTAAGTCTTTTTTTTCTTGATAGAACCTACCTGGAAAGGCTTAATGGAATAAAATATGTGACTCCCTTTCAGTGCTCACTGGTATTTTGGCTGGGGAGGAAAAGAGCAATAGTTCTAATTTCCTCAGCAAGCAGACAGGTGCTGTGGAGCAGAGCCAGTGCTTTCCTGTGGCAGGCCAAAGTCCTGGACTGAGGCTCAGTGCCAGGCTCTCACTGGCTGCATGTTGCTTCAAGTCATCAGTCACAGGATTTATTTTGCCTCCTTGTTCTCCCAAAAAGGCTTAAGATATCTGTTTAGCCATAAATTGGAATGTAACTGTAACATAAACTGGGAGCAGTGCTGTGGAGCAGTGAGGTGTGTGTCAGCCCCATGCTCGGGCAGTGTGTGCTGCAATCCCAGTGCCAGCATTTCCTGTGTTCTTCACTCAGAGGCTGTGCCAAAGCTGGGGAGAGCGTGCTGGTCCATGGTGCTAGCGGTGGGGTAAGTGTTCCAAGGAGGCAAGTGGTACAGAAACTGCTCTCTGTCCTTGCGTCTGCTTCTTCCTGGGGTGTGAGTTATGGTCTTACTTGTATCAATAGATCAGCAGGTTAGGTTTTTGTTCCATAGGATACAGGATACACTTCCTTAGGAAAACCCTGTCATTCCCACTGAGTGTGAGACTGCACGAGTGCTGGTGTGAGTTCCCCAGTCAGAGGGTCACACACTGAACAGGTGTTTGTTGCAGGTGCCAGTTGGCCTGGAAGTTTTATTGCTGATTGCAGAAATCTCTGGTTTTCCAATATGTAGAAATTGTTCTCAGTCCTCTGAGAATAAGTCACTGGTGCAGGGTGACTGTGCATTTCTGTTTACATTCTCATGTTTTTACCCATGAGCCAACAGCTGGCTGCACAAGGAGAGGTCCTGGAATATATGAACCTGTGATTGAATACTACATGAAATTGCACTTCTAGTTTTCTTTGGGTTTTCATGGCAAACTTATTTTAGATCTCTATGACTCAACATTTTAGTTTGTCTCCCACACTCTGCACTTGCTCACTTTCTGGTGATGCACTAAACAGCTGCTGTGAACAGGCCAAGTTTCCTTAATTATTTGTTAGACAACAAAAAGATGAATTCATATCTCATTCTGAGATACTAGAATGGCATTCAGCATCATAAGTATTTTTTTAAATTTTCATAAACGAAATGTAGTGCTTCTATTCTTACTGGAGTGCTGGTAGGAGACATTGTAGTGCTTCTATTCTTACTGGAGTGCAAGGCTGGTAGGAGACACTGAGAATTCACTTTCTAAAGAAGTAGTGCTAATAAAATTTGTGCCTGCAGATTTTCTTTGCAATGCATAGTGCTGGTATTAATAGCAGGTGATTCTGTGAAGAGAAGAATTTCCTTGGATTTGCATCAAAAATATAGGGCCCAGGTTTGACAGATACTCAGCATTCTACACTGATGTATCAAATGCTGATAGCTATTAAAAACCCTCAAAAATTTACCATGCCTCAGTTAATGTCTTTTTTTTTAAAAGAGTATTTGGCTGTCTTTAAGATCCAAATTATTGGCCAAAAAACCACTTTACCAGACTAACTTTTTAAATGGGGAAGTTCCAAGTTGCTGGTAGAATATTTAAAATTCTAAGAAAGAGGTAAAATAATTTTCTCTTTTGTTTTTTTTCCTCCCCTCAGGTGGGACTAGCAGCATGTCAGATTGCCAGAGCTTGTGGTTTGAAGGTTTTGGGTACAGCAGGAACTGAGGAGGGCATGAATGTGATCCTGAGAAATGGTGCTCACCAAGCCTTTAACCACAGAGACCCGAATTACACTGAGAGGATTAAGGTGGGCCTGTGTCTGGACCCAGGAATGCAGGTTGTGTTGCTCTTAACAAAATGAGAACAGTTGTTTGCGGAAGACTTTGAATTGGATTTATGTAGGATCAATAGTGCACTGCCTTTTTCATTTCTACACATGGAAAAACTTTCTCATGCTGGAAGAGCTGAGCTTTCCTCACAAGCAGTGGCATTTAGAACTTCTTACATTCTGCAAATTCTAGTGTGGGATCACATCAAAAGTTAGCACAGCAAAATGTGCTGCAGTTCAGCTCATTAGCTATCAGCTGCAGTACAAAGGCTGTATTGAAAATTTAAACAATGAGCTGTAAAGTGGGTACTTTCTGTAGTGTTTAAAATAAATACCAAGCACTAAAATAACACCCTGTGTCCTGTACAGGCATGCACAGGGCCGGGAGGAGTCGATATCATCATAGAAATGCTCTCTAATGTCAACCTGGATGCTGACTTGCAGCTGCTGTCCTGTGCAGGGAGGGTGATGGTGAGTGTTTGTGTCCTGGGCAGGAGGGTGGCAGTGGGTGTTTGAGTCCCAGAGCAGGGAGGTGATGGTGGGTGCTTGTGTCACTGATTTTGTGCATTCAGCATCACACTGCACAGCTCTGACTCGGTGCTTTGGACTCCTTTGGGCAGGTTGTGGGCTGCAGGGGACGCATCGAGATAAACCCAAGAGACACAATGAGCAAGGAGTCCAGCATAACTGGAGTGAGTCTGTTTCTTGCAACCGAGGTGAGAAGCATTTCTGTTTTTAAGTATGCTTTATTGGCTTGTTCCAGCACCCCTTTATTTACAGTTAAAATTATTTGAAGGAATGAAAGAATAATTTCACTGTAACAAACTTCGTTCATTCCCTTATGTTTTGATTCACTCTCAGAACATCATAAAATATTTTCTGGTTATGGAATTTAATTCATGCATAAATTGCCAATACTATTTTGAACTGCAAAGACCTTGTCATAAACACTGTGTTTGTTACATGCAGGAGGAAAGGCGTGAATGTGCCACAGCAGTCCTTGATGGCATAGAAGCTGGCTGGCTGAAACCTGTTGTGGGCTTGGAATACCCCCTGGAGAAAGTAGCCAAGGCTCATGAAGACATTATTTGTAGCAGTGGTGCCCGGGGGAAGATGGTGCTCCTTCTGTAAAGGAGCACCTTTCCCCATTTATTTTGGAGCTGTTCTAGCTGCACCTTTGCTTACAAGTTCACCGAATGTATGTTATAAACACAGCTTTGATCATGTTTGACAGCAGCAGAAAATGCTCACTGAGATGAATTGGTTAACATTTTCCTTTTGTAATGAGCACAGTTACATTTACTGTAAAGTAATTTTGGTAGCTGTTTTGATTGATGTGGAAATAACAAATTATTTTCTCTGCTGGCACGCTTTGTGCTGCAGGGAATGGTAGGGTTTGGTATCATGGTCCATGTGAGGGCAGAGTGAGGCCACTGCAGGTAACAGAGAATGAAGATGCTTTTTACAGTTACACAAAAATAAATAACTCACTGTGCGTGTTAATTAGAACTGTAAATTCTTTTAGCCACAAAATTTTTACTCAAATTTTGTCACATAATTTACTTGAAATAAAAGCTTTTGCTGACAAAATAGTTTACTTTCCAGCTCAAAAGATGGGCAGAATCTCTCAAACATGAACTGTTTGGAGCCGAGGCAGTTCTACTTGTCTGTGCCTCTGAGGTGACAGTATCCTGGCTCATCCATAGGGACTGTCACTCTGGAGCTGCATGCTGGGATTTGCCTCCTTGGAAATGATGATCATGACTGAGGCAGCTGATCCTGGATGGTGAATGGCTGATTGTGAGGATTTCAGCTCTTCCTATGAGCTTTATTAAAGTCTCCTGGATCCCTGGCTGCATGGCTTGGTGGCACAGAGAGTTCCTGTGAAATTCCTGAGCTCCAGCCACTGAAGTGGGCAGGGCACAGCCCCAGCACCAGGGCTTGTGTGCAGATGTCTGTGTGGGGTCACTTTGTCATGACACCAGGGCCATTTCTTGTTCTCATACACTTAAATCCATTGCACAACAGATGGTGTTGCCAGGAAAGATGGTGGGATGCTTCTGGAGTGAATGATTTCAATTTAGCGTTAGAGTGAGTGGTTTCAGAAAGCTGCCTGGGGAGAGAAGGGTGAGGCCAGCTCAGCAGTGGGAATGTCTGCCAAGGTGCAGTGGGGCCCTTCTTCCCTCCAGGCTGCCCCAGGGCAGTGAAGCTGGTTTCCTTGTTTGTAGCACTTCCCACGGGAGTAGGGAGCTGTGTTTTTTTTGTGAAGATTCAAGTGATTCACCTGGTGTAAGTGATGTGTGTAGCCAGTGTCTGATCATCCACTCCATGTGAGAGGTGCTGACTGTTCCTGTTGTCTCAGGCAGAGTGCAGCCTGAGCAGTGGTGTCACGTTGGGAACCTGCTGTTCCTCTTGACAACTGTTAGAGAAAGTAAAACACCTCTTGATATTAAAGTATTAAACAGAGCTTAAGAGTAATGGCAGATATGACTGTGAAGATGATGTGCATATAAAAGTATATACCTTTCCTCTATATTCTGTGTTCAAATATTAAATTATTTTTAATTTGGTCGTAATTTAGTAGGGGTCCATGACATGAATGAGAGGCTGATGGTTTGCAGTGGCTCCTTCCTTGCTTAGTGCTGCCACTGCATCGTGGATGGTGTTTAGAGGAGAAATTGAGAGCAAGTCTCTGGTCTGTGCTCGTGGTTGTTGTCCCAAGGGCTGTGGTTGTAGTGGAGTTTGTCACCAGAAGGTGTCAGGGCCGTTCTGTGATGCCACATTACTGCTGCTCTCTGCCAGGTGGCCTGGCAGAATGGCACAGCAGGATGGGGCTGACTTGTTGGGAATATCATAGAATGTTTATGCTTCTGTCAGTTTCCAAGGTATTGTATAAACGGAAGGAATTTTTTTAATTTTGGAAGAAGTGTGAATAGAGCTAATGAGGAAGGGCTCAGGTATGTCTGATTTGTGCAAGCTACCAGTCTAGAGAGTGTCATCCTGGAGAGTCCTTGGTTTCACTCCCTTTTTGGGACATGCTGCCCCTTGGCAGTGCAGAGAAGGATGAGGAAGAGAGTGGTGGCCACAGATCATTGAATTTGGTGGAATAAGTCTCTCAGTTTGTTGAGAATCTTGTGATTTGAGTGGGTGGGATTTTGGAGGCAGTGGTTCCCAGTCACAGCCTGCTTGGTGCTGCCAAAGGTGCTTGGAAGGGTTGAGCAGGCTCAGTTTGTGCTGACCTTGGCATCTGCAGGAGAGGTCTGGGGTTCAACGTGAGGAGTTGTGTACAACACAAGGCTCTGGAAACTTCTGTGTGTTTGTAAAGCATAAAAGAGTGGGATTGTTCTGAAAAGCAGCTGCTCTTGGTTAATCTTATTGTGCCCCAAATAAATGCTGCTTACATTTTCTAGTCATTAAAAGTGTAATTGCCTCTCTATTGTAATTGTCCTGTGTCGTTCCTGACTTCTTCCTGTGCTGCAGGATGATACAATAAGTTAGTCTGAGGCTTTGATTACAGAGTTGGGAAGATAAATATCAAGAGAATATTGATGTCAATAATTGCTCCCTTTACAGAAGGCAGATCAATATTGAGTTTGGGTGGATCATGCCACAGAAAATTTGAGAATGGTGAAGCCTTAGCATTTTGGAACAGATGCATCAGGAGGCATGGCTGTCCCTGCTGTTCCTCACTGCAGGGATCTCTGCTCACATCAGCCACTCTGGCCCCTGGAAGCATTACCTTGTGAGTTTGTACTTCAAATGGGACTCTCAACAACTGCAGGAAGAGGGGAAAATGAGCATGGAAGGGTGGTTGTGTCTCCTTTATTCCAGTAAATCAGGTGTCTGTTGCCAATGCACACTTCGGTGCTTCCTGTCATCTGTATTGAGAGATGGAAACCAGGATTAATATTGGAAGTGCATCCTGTCACCTCATCATATATTTTACATTCCTGGATCTGTGTTGTATGAAAATGCCTTCTCCACTCTTATAAACTTAAACTTACAAACTTTTTTTCTTTTCTTTTTCTTCTTATATTCCCACACCCTTCCCTCCTCCCCCATTTTCCTTCATTTTCCTTTTTCCATCTTTCCTTTCTGTTTCTTCTTTTTCCTTCCCCTCTCCTGCCGGTGTCCCGCAGCCCCACCCAGTGGAGTCTGGTGGCCGGTTCCGGCTCCTCGGTGCCAGGCAGACAAGAAGCTGCTGGAGGGGGTCCAGCAGAGGGTCGCAGAGACGGTGGAATTGCATCCAGAGGTGGTGAATCGGCGTATTGCATCTGAAGCATCTCCGTAACGCCGAGAGACTGCCCAAGGTGGGCGTGCTTGGTGTGCAAAAGAGACAGCTGAGGGGGGATCTCACCAATCCATGCAAACATTTCCGAGGGGAGTCACAGAACGGTGCCAGGCTCTGCTCAGTGGTGCCCAGTGACACGAAGAGGAGCAATGGCCGTGAACTAAAGCACAAGAAGTTCTCTCGCAACGTGAGGAAGAGCTTTCCACGGAGGGTGGCAGAGCTCGGAAAGAGCTGCCTGGGGAGGGTGTGGAGTTTCCCTCTCTGGAGACATTCCAAACTCACCTGTCTGCGTTCCTGTGTCGCCTGTTCCAGGCGGCCCTGCCTTGGCAGGGGATTGCGCTTGGGCTCTCCAGAGGTCCCTTCCAACCCCAGCAATTCTGGTGTTCGGTGATTCTGGGGCGGCGGGCGGAGCACCGACCCCCTCCCGTTCCTCCCTCCCTCTTGTCTGTCCCTCCCTTTCTCCCGTCTCTTCCTTCCTCCCGTCCGTCCCTCCATCCCTCCCTCCATCTCTCCCTCTCTCTCTCCGTCTCCTGGCGACGCCGGGACGCGGCGGCAGCGCCGGGGCCGGGGCAGCGCTGCCATGAGCGCCCCGCAGCCCCGGTGAGTGGGCCGGGGCCGGGGCCGGGGCCGGGGCCGGTCCGTGTCGGGCTTCCAGCGCTGCGGGAATGGTGCCGGGCTCGGGCCCGCCGGGGCAGAGAGGGGCGCTGGGGGTGCCCCGACCCGCCCGAGAGAGTCCGGGGAACCTGCCCGGCAGCCAGGGGCTCCCCTTCGGTAAGGCCGTGCTCGGCGCAGGGGATGGAGCCGTGGGGATGGGGGGCTGCTGCTGCAGGTGAGTCCCTGGTTACCTGCCCTCGGAGCGGCAGGCTTTGAGTTCAGAGGATCCGGACTTCCCCGAGCTGATGTCACAGACAAACAGTGAGGAACAGAGAATCTCTGCAGGTCTCTATGACAGAATTTGGCACATCCTGGTATAGTGGGCTATGGTCTGAGTAAGCAAGCAGCGGTACAGCCTGCTCCTGGGCCACAGACAACATCAGCAGCAGCAGCACAGCCCTTTGGCTCCCCGTTCCGTGTGCGGCTGTGAGGCTTCAGACTTCCTCGGGGCGGGGGGAAAGGCAGATGGGTGCCAGGCAGAGCACAGGCACCGTGGTCCCCTGTGACTCTGCCAGTGAATAACTGAAGCTGTGGTGCTCTCTCACATCATTTATTTGGTGATCGCTGATTTAATGGCACTGTGAAATAGTAACTGTGAAGGTTTGCTTTGCAAAACACGTAGGATGTCTGCTGTGGCTTTGTCTTGATATCCTTCCAAATGAGTGAGAGTGGTCTTAAAATTTACTGTGGTACACAGCTCTGGCTCTGAGTGTAGGGCTTTGGGTAAGCTGCCAGCTGAGAACAAATATACTGTTAATAAATAATAGTGTCGATGATCATAGCATCATAGAATTCTAAATAACCTCAAATAGAAACTTACTGACCTAAGAGTGACATGTTGTCACTGGCTGTGGTGCCAGAGAAACAAACATTGACGCTCATCTTGAGAAGAGCTTCAGACATACTCCAGGAATGTACAGATCAGTCAGTTTAGGTTCTGTGCCAGGAAAATTGTCTGCTATTCTAATAAAACCCCAGCATTTTTAGAGAGAAGAATGAACAGGATAAATGGGCAGAGATAAAGGAGTCCCAGGAATACCCAGGAAAGGGATGTGATTACTGTGACACTCAGGCTGAATAGAGCTGTCTGAGGCTGGTGCTTTCCCTTTGCTGTGTTTGTTCCTAACAAGGATTTTGTCAGTTCTGCACTTCTGCCTGTTGCAGAGGTTTCAAAGGTGATGTTTGTGTGTGGTTCTTTAATACTGGAACCTTGAACAAGACAGCTCAGACAAGAACTTCTCTTGTCCTTTTGTTGATACCAGGAGCAGGCTAAAGGGGAGCAGTGGCAGCTTTGCTGGAGTGCTCCTGGCCATCCCCGAGGCACGGGTCCATGCCAGCGTTTATGGCTGCAGGGGATTCCAGGGCTGCAGCTCGTGGCTGCTCTGGCAGCACGCAGCCAGACCCCGTGGGCCCGCTTGCATTCTTTCCAATGATTTAATGGGTCTTGGTTCAGGCCAACGCATTTCCTTATTTCCTCTAATACCCTTTTGAACTCTGAATTTAATTCAGCATTTTTGAGGGCCAGCCTGTTCATAATTTAAAAGAGAAAATACGTGTTCTGAGACTTTGGTGAAACAGAAAGTGCCACAACATTGTGTTCAGATGGGAGCTGCATTTTAACTAGTTATGTGGTCCAAGATGTCTTAGGTGGAAGGAAGTAAATTAAAGGAGTTGGATTGAGTTTCTCCTCTGCCTCAACATGCCGTTGCCATGTGATACCATAAAATGAATACTTAGCAAAATTGGTAGAATCTGGTGGTTTCAAATGCAAACTGTGGATTAAAATGGTAACACAAAACATTTGCTATCATACCAATGTTTAACCAACAGGCATAAAAGGGTAACCTACATTGTTTGTTTAAAGTTTAATTTATTGTTGGCAGCTACCTTTGAGGTTATTGTTAAACCCCATGTAAAATTCCTGTAAATCTATGATCTCTTCAAGATATTTCTCATTTCTTTCCTTGAATATGCTTTTGTGTGTGGCACATCAGCCTAGCAATAGACATATTACTGAGTTTTCCAGCTGAAAGGGATGTAATAGAAGCACAGTGCATTTAAATCTACAGCCAAAGAAAACAAAAGAGTTCAGTCTCTTGTGTAACTTGAGCCCAGAGAGCCCAGAGGTCAGGCTGAACATATTGTGTGACAGGTACCTGAGTGTGTGAACTGCACAAATGTGAAAGGATTTAGAGTCTTACCAGCTGCATCCTAGTGTCACTGACTTCTCTACTTGTCCTGTTTTCCAGAGGGTGAAGTAAGATACAGTTGTGCTAAGAATAGTTGAAAAACATAACAGCTAATTATGAATGCTTCGGTTTTTGTGTTCACCTTTCACATCTGAGGCTCAGTTTTTTGAAGCTTTGCTCTCTGCTGATGTGATGGTTGTAGTGAGGCCCTGGCACAGGTTGCCCAGGGAAGCTGTGGCTGCCCCATCCCTGGAAAGGCTCAGGCCGGGCTGGATGTGGCTTGGAGCAGCCTGGGCCAGTGGAAGGTGTGGCAGGCACCCGCAGGGCCGGGCAGAGTGGCCGGGGAGCTGAGCTGAGCTGTGTGAGCAGCGGGAGCGCGCTCCCGGCGCAGCGCGGTCCTGCCCGCGCTCGGGCGCGTCCCCAGGAGCTGCTGCTGCTGCTGCCGGGGCTGGCCTGGCGCTCCCCAGCCGTGCTGCTGGCAGGGCTGTCCCCCACTCTGCTCTTGGCCTCAGCTGCAAGGCACGTGTTTGTGACAGGAGTTCCCAGGAAGCCACCACGTACTGCTTTTACACAATCTGATGGGCATTTACCTGATCAAATCCAGGACGATTTGCTAAGGCAGCATTTTGCGTAGCAAACGAAATTGGGTAGCTCTGTTTAAAGTAGACTGTAGTAATTTGTCAGTCAAAGGGATTATAAACATCTCCATTTTATTTATTGCAGCATTCTTGAAACCTATAACAGTCTTACAGACAAACACCTGGTTGGATATTTCAGCAATGCCAGGATAAGACGACATCTTCAGAAATCAGGACTGGTGAGACTGAAAAGTTTCCCTCAATTCTACATTCAATTCAAAATGTTTTTATGCTTTTTTCCCCCATATTTCCTTTTGCTCATTCGAGTTTCCCTCTGCAAAGTGTTTCAGTTTGCAGATATACAGCATCATATTGGCTCACTCATGGTTTTTTTGCTGTGAAATGCAAGCATCTTTGACTTGTTTAAATAGCTTCAGTGTTATTTTTCAGAAGTGTTTAATGGAAAACTGAAGGATTTGGTAAAGGTGAATATGCTGAACATTTTATTAAAAACACTGGTGCCCTCCTAGGTGTGACTCATTTGCACAGGCAGGTGCAGTAGGGCAGCACGTGTTTAATCCTTTCCACCCCTTTGGGCAGTGGCCTGTGGAGGGTAAGGCTGAGCCCTAGGCTATTAGGAATGTGGCTGCTGCTCCTCCCATTTGGCTGGAGGAGCTCAAAGATAACGCAGTGCTGGAAGGTGGGTTCCAGCACCACGGCAGGGCCAGAGGTGGAAGCAAACCAGGAGGAGGAATTGGTCTTCTGGGAAGTTGTACTGTTTCAAAACACACTTTATTCCATCTCCTCCTTTTCAGTAACACTGTGTTTGTGTACGGCAGATCTCCAGGAGCGGAAGGATAATACCCGAGAAGGAATACCGTCTCAATGCCCTAAGGAGGGACCACCAGAGACACGTCCAGGAGTGCTTGGCTGATGCCATATACCACAAGGTCCTTGACATAGAGGTGTGCCCTTGCTGGGGATGTGTGAGCCTCTCAGGTGTCTCCTCACTGACAGCCAGGGGCTGCTAACCTGTACTGGACTGTTTTCCATGTGTGCTCTCATGCTCCCCTGGAAGGCTCTTTCCTGCTGGGAAAAAGGACAGACTTTGTGCTTGAGGTTCCCCACATGGAACCTCCATGGGCCTCTCATTGTCACACCATGCTATTGGGAGAGCAGGCACTGTCCTGGCTTTCTTATTGCTTTTGACAGCTCTCAGGTTATGAGATGATATTCACAGGGCTAGTTTGCTTTAAAAAATTCTGATAAAAGCAAACCAGTTTGAACATATTTATATGCATGTTATCTGAGTACAAAATTTGGGCACGTTCCTGTGGGATATCAGGAATGGAGTTGGTTCCTACAACTTTAGCAGCTTTACCAGTGCTCAGTTGCTCCCTTGGCTGTGTGAATATATGCAGGTGAAATGCAAATAGATTCAATCCACAGTAGTTCTATTACAGGGCTCAATGAGGGTAGTGGCTAGGGAGAAGGCATGGGACAAGCAGGACAGAAGCAAGAGTTCTTGCACACTCATGATGGCCAGTAATGGGATTTCTCTTCCTCTTATATTGATAGCATCATCATCAGCTGGGGCTGAAAAAGAGACTCGATTATTCTATGAGGAAAGAGATGATGCAGCCAGCCAAGGTAAGGCTTCAGCACTGCTGATGGGGCCTGGCAGTTTTGCCTGTGTTGAGTAATAACCATGAGCCTGACCAGTGATTCCTTGAGACAAGTGCTCTGCCTCTGACATGGAAAACTACAAGAAACAGGCAAGTAGAGGATGATCCTGCCCCAGTTACATCTGCTTCGTCTAGAAGTTCAGGACCTTCCATTTATGCATTTAATTCCTTCTGAATCTAGTTATTCTACTTCTGCAGTGTTTTTGGTTGGGTGATTTAATCATGAATTGCATGAAATGGTAGCTCCTTGCATTTCTGCATAGTAATAAACGTATCTGCTCTCTGATATGTCTGTTTGATGCTCCATTGTTCTCGGAATGACAGAAGTTATTAAATGTTCTCTTTTTCCAAGGCATCTGTGGTTTTACATATGTTCTTCACATTCCTTCTCAGTTTTCCAAGCTGAAGGTCCTCAGTCTGAATTTTTCTTACCTGAACCATTCCAGGCTTCTCATTACTGTTGCTATTTTTTTACTTTTTCTCCTTCTACTATTTCTGTTTTGAAATGGAGAGCCATAACAGAATGAATAATACATTCTCCTCCCAGTAATTCTAGACCTCTGTGCTTTTAACTGCTGATGAGCACTGAGCCCATGTGTTTGGTTGTTTGCCACTCCACAGGATTTGGGCAGAACTGGCATGTGAGAAATCAAAGAGGTTTTAGGAGTCTTCATTTAGGTGTCATGTAGGGTGAACTTGATTCTCTAGTTATAGTCATGGAAATCCCATAGAAGTCAATGGTTCTTCTCCCCATGCAATCACCTGAATTCATATGGGAAAAGTCATCCTCATTTTGGCAGAAACATGCTCAGAATTTTATTTCTGTGTTAGGAACCTGAATGCTTTGAGAAGAGTGCCTTGAGAAGGTGGCTGCTTCATTGAGCAGCTGGTAAACAATGTCAGGTCTGTTAAACTGTAAATAATACATCTATAAGCAAGTCATGGGGTAAAGAGAGGAGGAGATTTTCCTGAAAGACACTGGTCGCTATGGAAATTGCAAAAGCATAATTTGCTGATGGAACTCCTGTGGTAGGGAGTCACCCCATGGAAGCAGCGATTCTGGCACCCTGTCAAGGGATACTGGGTTTGAATACTTTTGGAACTTAAACCAGGACTGCTTCCTCCAGAAAGACACCTGCAGACACCTGATCTGTGTGTGCTGTGCTGCCATGCTGGGATGCAGGAGCCTGGCTGGAGCCAGCAGTGTAATTTAATTCTCACCTCACCTGTTCAGTGAATTCATCCGAGTTGCTTGTCTGAAAGGAAAGGAGAAAGGCAGATGGCTGAGCAAGGGAGGGTGAGAGACAGAGCTGTCTGTTTCCAGTGGGGCAGCCATCTCAGTGTTGGGTTGGTGAGATGAGAAGGTGGTGAGAAGCTGCAGTCATAGCAGGGAAGAGACAGGTGCACTCAAATTTAAACTTCAGACAAACCAAGAATTGTGAGATACACAGAAACAGCCGTGGATTGAATCTAGTGGGTCAGCAGCTGGAGAGAGCTGCAGGAAAATGAATCAGAGGGGGACAAGTCTTTGTGCTTGCCCCTCACATTCTCCCATGATTTCCTTTCTTTCCTTCACCATCTGTTCCATCAGTCCAGGCCAGCTGATTGTCACATCTGTCCAGTGAAAGGCAGATGTAATGAGACAGACACCGCTGGTTTTGGATTCGGTGCTTCAGAGACGCAAATTCCTTTTCTTTCAGATGGAGCAATCAATGGGAGAAGTTGTCCATGTGTACTCCCCACATCCACCCATCGCTCCCCGGAACCACCACGCGCTCTGTCCTTTGGTGTCTGGAGAGAGAACTGGTCGCTCACAACAGGTGAGTGTCATCAGCCTCTCCTTGGGCTATCGTGGAGGCACAGGCAGCTGAGAGTGTGCCCGTGCACCTTAGTGCAAGGCATTCCCTGCCTGGATCATTCTGGATTAGGGCCTCATCCTTGATCACTTGAGGCTGATTTCCTGTTTGCTGGCTTGTGTTAAAGAGGAATCCCCAGAAGCTAGTGTTGCAGGAATGGCACTTCAGAACCTAGAAAAAAAAACCCAAAGCCTTTGCTGTCTGATAAATCTGCGTCAGTCTTTCCCTTTTAGCTGCCTCATGACCTCAGGCAGGCCAGTATTAGTGTGCTGAGCATTGCCAGTGGACACAGGAAAGGTTATGCATGTTGTAGAGCCCTGAAAATGGTGGGGGGTTGAAGGAATGAAATCAGACTGGAGCTCATTTCAGAAGGCTGTGTCTAGGAGCTCTGACTTTTGCTCTTTGTTAACAGCAAATAAGGAATGTTAATATAATGGTACTAAAGCCTGAAGTCAAAGGTCAAATATTTAGGTCAGTTTCAACTGGCTCTCTATATCAATACTGATAATTGATGCAGATTGAAGAGAAACTTTTGAGTCCTGAATGACCTTCTCTTCATACAGAGGGCACCTAGATTTGGAGTTGATTATGATGGTGGACGTTGTTCTCTTTATCGCCGAACCAAGGAGCCTGCCTGCTGTCAGGTGGTGAGTTAACCTCAGTTAAACTGTGCTGTTAGGTGTTAACATTTCAGCTTGGTATACAAGGAAAACATGAAATAACACAGTCAGAAAAAGCTGGATATTGAACAAAAATACAAAAATAGGTATGTTTTTGTTGTGCATTCTCCCTGGGCCCATGTGCTGAAGTCCGTAGCACGCTGCTGCAGTTTCTGTGAGTTTGCTGTGTGGTGGTGAGACAGTAGCAAACCTCGTATTTATGGCCAAGAGTTGTTTTGAATGGTCAGTTAGAGGTGCCTAAAGGAGTCTGGCTTTTTGGAGTCGGACTAGAAAATGTCATGTCCTGTAGATACCTGAAATCACTCACCACTTCCAGATGTCTTCATCAGTGCTATTATTTTTCTTTGCGGCACTGCTCTGCACTGGAAGCTATACATTGAGATTTTGTCATTGTTTTCTTTCTCCTTTTGTAGAGTTCCTTGCGACCAAAAACAGCTCCAGGAGATGTACAGCAGCCCCCTCGCCTCCAGCCCCTTCTTGGCTGGGCTGCAGCAGGGTCTGTACCAAAGGCTTCCAAACAGAAGTGCCATGCACTGGAACATTATCAGCAGTTTGTCTGTGGGGTGAGGCTGCTCTTAATTCTGAAATCAACTGTCCCACTTCAGGGACAGTTTTATAGTATTGTTTACTGTGGTTCCCAGAACTGTGTATGACAGGGAACATCCCTTCCAAATGGCATCAATTGTTATTTAAACTGTCCTTTTTCACTTCCCCTCAATTTTCAAGACACTGTCTTACTGGTCTAATGCCCAGTTCTTGATCACAGTGAGGAAAAATGTGATGACCTACCTTTTACAGTAAAAAATCCTTCTGCGTACAAAATTTTCTCTCTCTATGTAGATTTTCTCTTATGTGGAGAGAGAGGCAGCACCTGGTTGACTCCAGGAACTTTGGAATATTTTCAGCTGCAAGTCCTACAGGTTTTCATCATCACCTACAAAGGAGTTGCAAAGTAGCAAAAAATTTCTTTTTTTGATCATTCCTTCTGCTAAATCACACTAGTGGGCTTAGAGAATGAGAGTCAAATATGGTCATGATATATTTGCAGTTACTTTCAAGTGATATTTGGACTTGTCTTCTGTTCTAGAAAAACATAATGTGATTGGTTTTGTGATATGCATTCCATGGGGTGAGAGGGCTTTGGAGTGGGACTGTGATCTGCTACCACTGGCTGGCAGATGCTGTGTAAATAGCTCCCTTCTGATCTGTGTTTGCTGTGTTTGGGGTGGCCATGATTCTTTCTCCAAGAATTTGCTGATTGGTCCTGTTTATGTCTACTCAAATTGTGGGTGATTTCATGGTTTCTTTAGTGCTCACCACTGACAAAACAGCTAAATCAGATGTAAGGTCTGAGAACACGATGCAGAGCTCAGAGCCACGGCATGCAGCATTTACAGAACTTGTTCTCTAGTAATGTCTCACTCTTACGGGCTGTGGTCCATTTCATTCTGCAAGAGGACTAAATCTCTATTCAGATGGGGAAGCAGCATTTTGAAGCACATCTTGTATAACTGATGCCAAGTCATGTTTCTGTTGGACGACTGGCTGCTCTGGGGCTGTGCTTTCCAGCTGCAAGGGAGCAGCAGCTGCAGGGCTGTGCAGGGTTCTTTCTGTCTGAGATGAGATCTCGGCGGCGCTGGAGCCAGGGCTTGGTGTGCACTGCTCTCTGGATCTCTGGCAGTGACATTTTCAAGCAATATGAATGTTGCCTTGCAAATTAAAAGAAAGGGGTTTAGCACAGAAATATTTTAATGAGCAGAATTCCAGGCCCCAAGGTAAGGAGCTGTTTCAGAAGGATGCCTGTTGCTCAGTGTACCAGGAAGTCAGTCCATGGCCGGCCCCATATGCTCGGGAGCTGGTTTTGCAAAATGTCGCTTCACTGAACTGTTTTTCCAGGGGGCGAGCGGTGAGTTAACGTTGAGGAACCCAATGGATTACATGGCTGGCGTGTCACCCTACCAGCCCCCTGCCAGCAAGCGCCGCCGCCGCCAGGTGCCGGTGCCGCCGCCGCGCCCGCACCTCGGGGACCGGTGCATCCCTGGCATCAGGCGTGGGCTGCCCGTAGAGAGGTGGTTTCATCCCACCACTGCATTCAATGAGCAGTTCTTGATCAATGTAAGTAGCCTGTGTCCACGCACAGGTGCGCTGCATTCCGCACTGGTGTGTTTGCTTAGTGCTGGGAGATGTGCATACCTAGTTTGCATAAAGAAAATGCATAGCTATTAAAATATATAATTGCTATGCATGTCCCTGTAGCCTAAAACATTTGGTGTTTCTCATCAGTTGGGGAGAAAAAAGGTGCTGAACAACAACCTAGATCAACAGTTATTCAAAGCCTTCCCTTTCAGTCAATCTGATCCTGTTCTGGCACTAGAATCTCAGGGATTTGTGAAATGCCTTCAGTCCATGAACATTGCATCAGTTACACTGTCTCCAGCCAGTTTTAATTCCTGTAAATAAAGTTGTAGGAACCCTCATCTGGGTGGGATGATATGGGTCATTAAACCTGGTTCTTGAAATTTAGGGCTATTCAATGCATGGGGTTTTCAGCTGGAAATGTATCCCACACCCTCTGCATGTTACAAAGCCTTCCCACTTTAATCAGCCCAGCCCTTGTTATAAAAGCCCCGAAGTCTCAAGTGTGGGCTGCGCAGATGTGAGCTTTGCTTGCCCCTTGTTGGAGCTGGGAGCTGAAGGCATTTCTGTGCATTTTCTGCTGCAGAACACCAAAGGGTTCCCCAAGTCCCCGTTGTGCAGCAACGCCTTGGTCACCATGATCTACCTAGGAAAGAGTAAGCACGTGTCTCTCCGTGATTACAAGGATGAAATCAAAGTCTATCAGCAGTACTGTGGAACAGAAAACATTTGTGTCTATAAAGGCGACCTGCTGGAAGGAGGTAAGGATGGAGTCAGAGAGTTCATATTGAGTGTGACAACATTGCTTTTTTGCTAAAACTTTGCCCTGACATCAGAATGATTACAGCTCAGCTTGGTCAAGATATATGTATCCAGGAATGTTTATACCATCTGCCTCCACATTAAACCTGGATCTACTGTCCCATGATTGAAAGTGAGGTTACAATTACTTTTGCAATGTAGAATTTAGAGAATTGATTTAACAAAACACTTGTGGCTTATGCTAATTTTCTCTAGAGATACATGGTTAATAGAGCAGTAGTAGTGATAAACTGTCCTTAAAAAGGGGTTATCTGAGTTGCTAAAACACATCAGTGAATGTTACTTCTTATCCAGAAGGAAAAGTACATACTGGGAGCCCAGTTCCCATCTCTTTTTGTGTGAGTGCAATTCCCTCAGAGCAGTAAAAGATGAATTGTGTTCTGGGAAACTGGACACAGGAAATGGCTGGGAGGCTCTGGCCTTTATCCTGCTGTAGCAGTGAGTGGCCAGACTGGCAGTGTGACATTTGTCCTAGCTGTCCCACTTTAGGATTCTGGGGCTGGCAAGAGCCAGGGCTGTGTGTGTGGAGGGGTAGAGTTTAACCCACTGGTTCAAACTGTTGAGCAGACCTGAGAACCCCAGTGCCTGTGCACAGAGGGCTGGGTGCTGTGGTGATGCATTCAGATACAGCAGTTGCTGCGGGCTGACGGTGAAGCACAATGTTTTCCTGTGACCCCTTTCTCTCTGTAATTGCAGATACCTTCCAGTTCATCTCTAAGAGGTACCTCGGTTACCCATTCAGCCTCACCTTTTACCTCAACGGGCTCCAAGTTGACAGGCTGAGCTGCTGCTGCGAGTACAAAGGCTTTCAGTGCAAGAGGCCTGCCCGGCTGCGGCGCAAAAACACCTACTTCAGGGTGCTCCATGTGGCAGGAGCACCGCCTTGCTACAGGTATGGAGAAAGCACACTTTGCTCACAAGGGCTTCCTTCAGAGAGCTTCTCGCTTGTTTCTGGTCTTTCCTCTCTGGCTCCACGCAGCTCCAGAGCCCGCTCAGTTTCTCAGTGCCCCCGGAAGGTGCGGGACGAGGTCACCTGTCGAAGAAGGGAGAGGCGACACCAGATGGTCATCAGCAAACTCTCCGTTTAATGATAATCATACACTTGGTTAAATACAATACTTAATTAGCTCATGCATAGTGCAAAACTGTAGCTCATCATTGGTTAATGTGTTATTTGCGTCATTGCATCATCTGAAGGTCTCTTCTGCATTTTTGTGATTTTAGAGCTAACTCTCAGTCCCTAATTCTGCAACTTATTGATACAGTCTTACCGAGACTTTCCCTCCTGAAGGACACCCTGTCCTTCAAGATATCATTAGCCTCCTTTCCCATCTAGTTTTATCAGGCCAGTTTGACTGTGTCCTTTCTCATCAAGCCATTCCTGCACAAAACTCTCTACATTTCTGTATCCTTTCTCATCAAGCCATTCCTGCACAAAACTCTCTACATTTCTGTGTCCTTTCTCATCAAGCCATTCCTGCACAAAACTCTCCACAGTCACCTGTCAGCTCTCCCATCCAAGGGTAGCAGCACAGCGGCTCCCGTGGCTCCCCAGCCTCCCCGAGGTGTGGGGACAGAGGGGACAGTGCTGCTCTTGGAGCTCGGGGCAGTGGCTCTGGGGTGCGGCACTGTGGCCACAGCGGCAGCGGAGTAAATACCGAGCGTGCTGCTGGTTAGCTGGGGTTTCCAGAAGCCTTTTTTGTGATCATTGATTTTTAAACAGCTCTGCCTCTGAAGTGAGATTCTGTTGTAATAGTCCTAGTTCAGAATAAGGCAGCACTGAATATTTGCCGTGGTTCAGAAAACAAATCTGTGCAGAAAGGTCTCGGGCAAATGTCAGTGCTGTGACCAACAGCTGTGACTCTGCCAAGAGGCTTTAATTTTCATAAAATCTTCCCTTCATGCAATTGTTAATTCAGGCCATACATAAACTTACAGATGTGGATAATTTAAAATCTTTTGTGTTATTTTAATAAATAATTTTTAAAAGAGCAGCTAGCAGTTGGAACAAGAACTCTTCACAGAGGTGTACTCTGTTCCTTCAGATAAGGACTGAATTCTAAGAAAAAAATGCTAGTTTATTGTAACATAGCTTTTGCTCCAGTCTAACAATGAACATGATTTATGTTCATTGCATGTTCATTGCATGTTCAAAGGAGTGAGAAGCACCTGAATTCAGAATGGCTATAGTGGCTATAGATTTTAGGAAATGGCCCAATCTCAGCTTTTTGTGATTTCTATAAAAATTTGAAGTGAATTTTCAGAATTTAATATAGTACTCAAAAACTGGATTAATTAATTCCTAAGTTACTCCCCCTTTCTGTCCCCCTTTCCCTCTTAGTGATATCTCTCTTTTCCTGCCTCTTATCAATCCAGCCAACCTTATCTAATGACTAAAAATCATCTCCATTAACTTCATTTTCCCCATAAATCACAACTATTTTCTCACCCCTTCAGGCCAAGTGCACTTGGGTTTGTTTTCTGCTCTATGACATACATTGGATGCCCATTTGGTTCCCAGTGAAAGTCCCAGTTGATTCTCCCTGGTGGGTCAAGGCTTTGGCTCACAACGAGGTGATGCTGCAGTGATTTCTGTACCATGCTGTACGCCTTGGTCTCAGAGCTTTCTGCTGGCCAAGGTCCAGCATTTCTGTACAGCTCCTGACTGTAAGAGAGAGAGCACATCACTCCATTTTATACGAGAGGGGCAGTCTCAACAACTCATTCAAAATGCTCTGTTTTCCATCTGTTTGGGTTTCTTTTAAGTAGGTAATTAGAAAATTGCTAACTTTCAACCTTCTTCTTCCCCCAGATAATTCTGGGGAAAACCAACAGATAACAAGCAGATAAGTGCAGAAACCCCCAGCCTTACCCACAAACCCTCAGTTATCACACTACTGGGAGTTACAGCAGGATCTGGATCCAGAACACGTCTGACAGAGCTTGTCTGCCTTTCTCAGTGGTTCTGTCTTCACAGCCAGTGCTTGGTGCAGCTTCAAATTAATGTAATAATTTTGGTTCTGTTTGTATGTCAGCTGTAAGTGTAGGCAGCATTACTGGCCTTCAAGCAAGAACTGCACCTGTGTTAGGGGAGCTCTCAGGGATTTCAGGGTGCTTCTCCTTGTGAGTCACTGTGGTGGCACAGAGGCAGATGGGTGTTTGGTTTCCCTGCTAATAACAAGCTGAACTCACTATGTCTGCGTCCCTCCGTTGTTCAAAGCAAGAAAAACGTGACACTTCCCAATTTGTGTTATTTTGTAGGTGCTTTCTTGCGATGGGCCTGGACAAAAAGCTGTTCCCTCCCAAGAGGAAGATTAAGTGCTACACGAGGCCGCACATGTGTTCCTGTTCTCCTTACTGCGCGCACAGCGAGCCCTGCGACAGCAGCGCCGTGCAGAAATCAATCGAAGGCTCAATGTCACTCACCATGCCAAGTCAGGAGGAAAGTGTGCAAACTATTGACGAAACACTGGAGTCTGAGTAGGAGTCCAGCGAAGAAGAAGAAGAAGAAGATGATGATGATGATGAAGAAGAAGAAGAAGAAGAAATGGAAGACCAATCTTTTGAGGAGACCGAAGACACCACCACTCAGGAAAACACCAGTGAAAGTGGTATAGTATTCCCAAACATGAGCAGGGGATGATGAGAAATGGGAGGGGATGGTTCTGGAGAAGGAATGGGATTGTGGACCACCAGCTTTGACTGGGGCATGGGAAACGTGGTGATGTCTCTATTGGGGCCACAGAATTTGGGTGGCTCCTTTCAGCCACGCAACAGGATGAGGTGGGGTTTGCAAGAGCCAAGAAAGTGAGTAGGGAGGGTGGTGAGGCAATGGCACAGGCTCCCCAGAGCAGCTGTGCCTGCCCCATCCATGGAAGCATTCAAGTGCGAGTTAGACGGGGCTTGGAGCAGCCTGGGATAGTGGAAGGTGTACTCAGCTATGGAAGAGGTGTCAAGTCTCTGCCTTCACTTCCTCCTTATCATAATCTTCTTTGGAGGCAATCACATTCACAGAGAGATTTTAATTCCTACTTCCTATTCCTATTTTTGCTTTCACAGTTCTGATGTGTTGCTGCTCATCTGACACTCGTTAGTCCCTCCGGATGTGTGTTTGGGATTAATGAAGCCTTTTTCCTTCAGGAGGAACTGCCCTTCTGACAGAGACCTCACTGCCAACACTGCAATTGGAATCTCAATTGATTTTTAATGCAGAAAAATAAATCTCCTTATTCCCTTAGTTCTCATTGTCTTGGTAATTGATTGTTTGCCTAACTGGTTCTGCTTCAGGAATTCTTCATTTCTGTCCTTGGTGTTCTGTCACTTCAGTATGTTAAAAGCCCTGATGGAAGGAAAGGAGGGCAGCAATAAAATCTCCAGAGCCAAGCAAAGGGCTGTGGAGGGCGGGAGCTGGACTCGAGGATCCGTGTGGATCCCTTCCTTCAGCTTACTCCGATCTGTCAGATGTCACAGGCTAGTGCCTGGCTGAATTCCAGAATGTGGATATAAGAGTGGTAACTCTGTGCAGGCTTTGTTTGTACTGGGATTTCCCCTGGGCCCTGGAAGAGCACATTACAGCAGTGTGATAACAGAGTGCCTCTGCAGTGCCCTTTGGCTGGATTTCATTAAATGCACTGAGCTTATAAGACACTTCTTTGCTATTCAGTCATGTCAATATACATTGATGGTACTTTGCACTATAATATATTACCTTTCTCCAGCTTTCTCAATTGCTTGTAATTTTTTTCATCACAACCAGTTTTTCTCCTGTTATAAGAGATTCTTACATTTAATTTCTGAGTTTTCCCAGCTCTAAATTTTTCTAGTACTTTCTGTGGCTGGCAATTTTGTTTATTTTTGTTTTAATACCTTACTCATCCCTGTTGTTTTGCTACATTTTTGCTACTCTATGAAGAACACAATGTTTTTTATGATAATATGCTCTTACAATTCTTATCTGTGGTCTTAGATTCTCTCATGGCTTTAAAAAGACTGAGGAACTTCAAGGGCAAAAGGAGATTAATGATGTTAATTAATATAAACTCAGAACATTAACACTGGTTCAGTGTTTCTATCTGCTTAAAAAGAACTTTTTAAATTGTGAATTCTGTTTCCTGTCTCACGGTACAATTCTTCTTTTTAGAATATGATGAAGATTTTGAAGCAGATGAAGAAGTTAATGAAGAGGGACAGACTGGTAATCAAATCAAGGGAACGTCAGAGTCATCCTCAGATGATAAAACCCATAATTTAGACTATGGAAAGGAGAGTGAAACCTCATCTCAGAAGGCACTGCAGGCCTCTGGCAGTGAGAAAGATGAAAGTGGAGGATATTCTGGTGACAGGGACTCTGAAGATGGTGCACCAGGTCAGTTTTGTTCATAGCAAGGCTTGGAGAAGCTGATCTGACGCATGTTTTACAGTTTGCTGTGTCCAGTATGCATGTTGAGTCTGCACAGGAAAACCGATGCCCTTCCCACTGAAATGCTAAAGCACAGCTGTTTAATCTGCTATTAATTGTGCCACTGAAGTGCAGGCAGCCCCTGGCAGTGAGAGGTGGCCTTTGCTGAGCTGTGCAGGCGCTGAGGTGGAGCAGGCAGCAGGCAGGCTCCCAGAGCCTCGGCAGGACAGCCCTAGTGTCAGCAGGCGCTCACACCTGGGAATCTGTGACCCCTGACACCTTCTGAGGGGCCCCAGGAAACCTGACAGGCCACCCTAGGGTTTAAAACTCTGTCTTTAATGGCCCTGAATATGGCCCTCATTTATTTGGCTGTGCCAGAGAGCTGGAAATAGTCAGATCGCGTGAAGGGCAAGGCAATGGTGCTGAGCAGGGCTGGGAGTGGGACTGGATGATCCTCGTGGGCAACCTCCAACCCAGCTGATTCTGTGATTCTGTGATTCTGTGATTCTGTGATTCTGTGGTTCTGTCTGTAGAGGAACCCGCTCGGTTTTCCCATGATGGAGCAGTAGTACTCTGGATGGGAATCTTTAAACTGGGGCTGTAAGGTTTCTTGGTGCAACGTGTTTTTCAGAACATGCACTGCTGCATGCATTATTGTTCTGACACTTTTATTTTCTTTGCCTGACTGGATTTCTCAGTCTTGAGTTAGACCAATCTCTTCTAGAACCCATGTAGATGGTGGACAGCAGCAGGGCTGTGCAGCAGTCAGCTCTGCTGTTCAGCTCACTGTTAGATGAAGGATTACGGCCTTTTTTCCCCTCAAATTTTCAATTTTTGAATTTAATGTGATGATGTCTGTATGTTTTTTTAGAGGAGATGGTGAAGTTCTTCTCCAGTTCAACGTGCAGGGTTCACACATGGTTTTGGAGATCTTTCTAATATTCAATGAGTTAACAGAAGGGCACTGAGGTGCTGTTGCCATGGTTGAGGTCTTTTACCAAATGAAGCTCAAGAGTCTGTGCTAAACCCTGTCTGAGCCATATTTAGAGGTGCATTTGGAAGTGTATTTCTGTGTGATTGACAGAACTACTCTGATTTATTTCTATTATCAGAAAAAACCCTCCACATTAAATGGCTTTAATTTTAATACTTCATACATCTAGGCAATGTTCTTCTATTTACACTTACTGGAATTTTGTCACAATATCCTCAGATGGTATAACTCAGAGAATGCTATTGCATGGGATTGTGTCCCTTTGTGAGTGCCCAGTGAACGCAGAGGTTTAGTGACAAATACTAAATTAAAATTTGCTGTTTTCAGAGAGGAGGCCTGCAGACTCCTTCTCATCCATGAGCACACAGTGCAGCACTGAGACTGACTCTCGTGCTGAAATGAAGGCAGACAATGTGAAGTGCAAAGAGGACTGCAATATCAAAAGTACATCTGATAGTGCAGCACATGCACACTATGGAAATGAGAATGGGGAGAAGAAACTGCTCAGAGTGGAGGAAAATCAGGACAATTCTGCACTGGAAAATAAAGGAATAGATGAAGCAGAAAAGACAAAACCAGAAGATCTAACAGCAAGGGAAGATACTAGAATTTTTCATGAAAACCTAATGGCAATGCAGCATGAAAACCCTGAGGTTAATGGGGAATTCAACCACACTGGGTCAGGAGAAAGCAACATGAATGAGGAGGAGAAATGTCCTCCAGTGCCTTGGGAGAGCAGAGAATTGAACAGTGAGGATGGCAATGAAGAGTCTCCTTGGTGTGAGGAAGGAGGTGGTGAGTACAGTCCCTGTGCACAGCTCTGCGTGCCTGTGCTGCTGCACTTGCCTTGTGCTCCTTGCTGGTGCAGCACGGGGAGCTGGGGCTGCTGTCAGCTCAGCATCTACTCAGAACACAACACTGCCTCACTGTTCCTCTGCTAGTGTTTCAAGTGCAAGGATTTGTCAAAAAATTAACTTTAAACCATTTTAAAGCTGAGATGGCTGAATGGCTTCTACTCCCCTTTTGCTCTTTAATGGTTTCTCTTTCTTGCTTCCTGTTTTCTTTGTGAAAGTTTTTGAAGATTGCAAACCAGTCCAGGAGGAGACAGCAAAGGCAACTGGAAATGATCATCCTGTGAATTCTGACCCTGAGCCTGGTGATTTGTGTGCCAGTGAGGAAGAAAAGAACACAGCAAATACAGAGCATGGTGCCAGTGAAGGTAAGATTGGCTGTCAGTCAGGGACAAGGATTAAATTACTCACCTGAAGCCTTTTATCAGAAGTGTTTGCCCTTTCCCTTTCCTTTGGCCATCAAAGTCTCCTTGTGCTTTTTTTCTTTCGTAACTTGTAAAAAATCAGGTGACAACTAGCTGGCATCTGTAGTAATGTATAATTAATGCTTTTTTGGCTGCTAAATGGTTCTAGGAGAAGAATCCAGGCCATGAAAAAACTGTGAGTCAGGAAATAGCTGTGGGAAGCAGGAATGTAGTGAGGTTCCATGTGCTTCCTAGTAGTGTGCAGCCCCTTGGGAAAAGCCTTGGCTCCCAGGGGCAGGAATTAACCCTGCATTATTCCCTGGTGTAATTACAGAATCCACAGGAAGCTGAATGTTCTTTGTCCTTTGCATATGTTACAGCAGCAATTTGTCAGCTATTTCTGACTTTCTAAGTGCACTGTCGAGCTTACAGATGTTGCACACGCACACACGAGCTCCCTGCAGGTAGGGAGGGAGGCAGAGCAGGCAGCACAAGCACAACTGGCCCTGCATCAACATTTTTAGTTAAACTCTTTATGGCAGATGCCAGAACAGCAGTACTAAAGACACGGCCAGAGCGCAGGGATGTGATGAGAAGCAGCACAGAACGTTCTCTTTGGGTGCCCAGGCTGGTGTCCCTCATTGCTGGGCAGAAGTGGCACCTTTAGCACTAACCCTGAGAAGCGTGTAACACTGACGGGGTGCTGAGTAAAGCGATGTTTGATTATCCCCTAGCAGCAGCAGGTGGGGGTCCCCCGGCCGAAGGGAGGAGCAGCCCTGACGTGCAGGAGGCGGCAGCACAGGCGGGACGCCAAGGGGAGGCCACAGGGCCGGGACAAGGCCTGGAGCAGGACGGAGGCGCCGGCAGCCGAGAGGCCGCAGGAAAAGCTGCAGGAGTGGCGGATTCGCCGTCCCGGGCAGGCACGGGGGCTGCGCTGCGGGAATCCGCGCCTGAGGAACATCCCCAGGGAAAGGGAGCGGGGCAGGCGGTGAAGCGGGGCACGGAGGTGGCACCTGGGGAGCAGGAGGTGCTGCTGGAGGGGATGGAGAGAGAGGCGGCACTGGGAACAGCTGCGGGACAGGGGCCGGCGGGGGCACTGCCAGCACGGCAGGCAGACAGGGCCGTGCCCCGGGGGCAGGAGGGGGCTGCGGGCGCTGGTGAGGAGGAGGCTGCAGAGGAAGGCCCCAAAGGAGCAGTAGGGCCCCCAGCAGAGGAGGAGGAGGGTGAGGCAGTGTCCGGGGCAGGGGAGTCCCTGTCTGCAGGGAAGGACACGATGGTGGGTGCTGTGTCAGAGGGAGAGGAGCCTGTGGAGGATGCTGATGTGGCAGCAGATGGGAAGGCCAGAGCTGTGGGCCCTGAAGGAGGAAAGGTTGTTGAAGAAGAGTTTTCTGAAGGGGAGGAGGCTATGGGGGAGCCTGGGGCTCTCCGGGAAGCACTAGGGGATGTGGAAACAGGAGAAGCAATGTCTGGAGGGGAAGGGTTTGTAAAGCCAAGTCAGTTTTCCCAGCTAAAAGGGTCAGGGGAAGAGTGGGTGGAGATGGGGAAAGCTGTCCCAGGAGCTGCAGCAGCACCTGAGAGTGCTCAGGCTCTCCAGAGAGGGGAGAACACGATGGAAGAGTCTGTGGAGCCTGACAAGGGTCCTGTCCTGGACGTGGCACCCGAGTTAGGGGCACTGGGGGGTGCTCGGGGGGATCCTGTCACTGAAGGGTCATCACAGGAGGAGAGGCTGGCAGTGCAGGAGGAGGAGGGTGCAGCAGAAGCACTTTGGAATGGAAACCCATCTGAGGGCAGCAAAGCAGAGACAGAGAGAGCAGTGGAAGGAGAGGCAGTGGGAGGGTCTGCAGGGGCGGCCGGAGCAGGCTCGGGGGATGAAGAGGAGGGCGCAGATGGAGCAGCAGGTTCAAAGGAGCCGGCAGCTGGGACGGAGGGGTGGCTGAGGTGTGGGCAAGTGACAGGGGAGGGGAGGTGTCCCGGGGAGGGGGCGGTGGGCGAGGCGGCGCCGCCGGCCCCGCGGCTGTGCGGGAGCCGGGCCGGGGAGCCGGGGCTGGTGGCCATCGCTGTGCGGGGCGGCCGCGCCGGGCGAGCAGCCCTGGCCGGGGGGCCGGCAGAGGCTGGGGCTGGCGCGGTGGGCACAGCGGCGGTGGCACAGGAGGGGGCGATAGGAGCAGTGCTGGGGGCACAGAGCGGGACAGGGGCGGCAGGGGCACAGGAGGCGGCGGCCGGGGAGCCCGGGAGGGCCGGGGAAGGGCTGGCCGGGGCACCCGGGGCTGGCGGGGCAGCGGGAGGGTGCGAGGGCCGGCAGCGGGAGGCGGGAGCCGAGGGCCGGCAGCGGGAGGCGGGCGCGGGGCGGCTCGGGCCCCCTCGGCACCGAGAGGCGCTCGGGGCCAGGCCGCGGGGCGAAGAGCCGGCTGCAGAGAGCTGCCCGAGCACCCCTGGCCCTGGGGACCGGGCAGCGGCTCCGAGCGGGACAGGAGGGTCCGCGGGAGGCGAGGGGCCGTGCCCGGGCACCCCGCCGCAGCTGGCAGCCCCAGAGCCAGGCACAGCGCGGGGCACGGACGGGCGGCAGGAGCAGGGGATGGAGCAGGCAGCAGCGAAAGCCGAGGGGGAGCAGCCCGGTGGAAACACGAGAGAGGGCGGGGTGGCGGGTGTCTCGGCTGGAGCCGGGGAGCAGAGGCAGCGCAGCCCGGTCGGAGGGAGCCCAGGTGTCCCGGCAGCCGCTGGCGCGGGCGAGAGGAGCCGCAGTTCCCGTCAGGTGAGTCCTGCGTGGGGCAGGGATGCCACTGCTCTCTTCACCCTGTGAGTAACACCGCCACCTGTCACGTTTCACTGGAGCAGCTCCTCAGCCTGCAGCCGCTGCCCCCAGCAGCCCCCAGGCTGGTTCCTGTCAGAGACTGGGGATGCACCACCTCGTCCCATTCCTTATCCCTTCCTTCAATGTCTGCTGATGGTAGCTGGGTCAGGGGATGATAAATCCTTGTGGGTGGCGGCTCTGCATTGTTTCCTATTCGCAAAATCCCGTGCAAATAAATGCCTCTGCTGCGGCACCAACTCTCACAGCCCCTCTGCCCTCCCTCCCCTCCGGCCGTGCGGAGCAGCTCCCTGTACCCAGCATGTCGCAGCTCTGGTGGCAGCGGGTGAGCCCTGGGAGCACTCGGCTTCCCTGTTACTCTGGCCTCTCCTTGTAGATGTCACAGCAGCACCTCAGTAGCTCCGAGTTCAACACGTTTTCAGTGATGTTTGGTTATTGTTTTGTAGGATAGTGCAAACTCAGACCCACTCATCACGTCCTCAGAACAGGATGGGGAAGAAACTCTGCTCTGAGCTTTTTCTGCAGCCCCTCAGTGCTGTGTCCTGTAGCATGCCCTCAGCTGGCCGTGGGTTTGTGCCGGCTGGGATGTCACTCCTCTCACCTGCCACGTTTCACTGGAGCAGCTCCTCAGCGTGCAGCAGACAACTGCAACCAGCTTGTGTTTGCCAGCCCAGGAAACAGCACTCCTCTGGAAGGATGAAGGCAGTAATCACAAGGATTGTTCCACAGCTGTCTGCCTTGTTTTTCTTGAAAAACAGAGAAATACTGGACTGACCGAGCTTCCCCTCCTCCCCTAGGCACCACTTGCTCCTGCCGGCAGGCAGGCAGAGCTTTTATCCTGGGATCTTCCCTGCCCCATGCCAGGGGAGGGGAGCCCTCCTGCATGCACAGTGCCCCCTGTGCCAGGGCCGTGTGGGGGGCTTCCCTCCCCTCGGGCATCCAGGCTTGCTGCTGGCCGCACTTCAGGGCATTCTCGGCGCGTGGAAATTTTGTTGAAAGCTGTTAAATCAGAACGATTCTAACAAGTATTTGTAAATGCATGAAGCCTGGCCTTCTGCTTTTGCTGGAGTCGCTCAGGAGTGGTCCGTGGAACCTCAGCTGAGGCTGCCAGGAGGGTGGGCAGTTCAGTTGTCTCAGCCTGGTGCTGGCTGCCCATCTCTGCTGCCCAAGGCTGTTCTCAGCTCTGCTGCACCTCTGGCCACACTGGGGCCCCTAGGACCCTTTTGGGCCGGGCACCTGGGGCTGGGTGTGCAGCAGCCTCTCGGCACTCCAGGCTTGGTGGGTGCAGCAGACTCAGCCACACAGTGGGGGACTGTCACTGTGTTTTCAAGTAGGGAAAAGACACTGAAATGAGCAGGATTTTGAGTGGATTGGTGCTGTGAGTCACTTCAGGTCAATATACATGGAACTGGAAACTCAAAGATGCTCAAGTGGCTGCTGTGTGTTTGCTCCTAGAGATGTTCCTGTCCTAGAGATGGTTGCATTTGTGTGTTCAGTCTGCACATGCCGCAGAGGGTTGTGTTTTCTCTGTCCATACTCACACCTACACGTTCACTCAGGCCTATTAAATACCTGTACCAGTCTGTGCAGCTCCTTCAATTTGTGCCAGGGCTTTAACTGTAGGAATAGCCCCTGCAGTGCAGCAGGGCCTGAGCTTCAGAGTCTGTCTCTGCTTGCCAGTGGGCTGATTGATGGTGGAGTGAGTCTTGAAATATTTATAAGTGACACTTACGTGTATGGTTGTAACAGTTGGGGGAGAGAATCCTGTGGTTAGGAACACATATGTGGACTTCCACAACATTAGTGTCCCTGTCATTTGAGCAGGCAGAAGTTTGGTAAATAAGCAAAACCATGGAAATGGATAATTGTATAGGTTTGGAAAAGCTTCCCATGGCCCTTTCTGCTTTTCTATATGGTGCTAATTAGTAATTAACTTCAAAGTGAAAAGTAGGTTGCACTTAGGGAAAAAACAAGATGTGCAGCAAAAAGAAAAAAAAGACTAATTATTACAGTGAGCATATGTGAGCAAAGCAAACTATCCAACAGTGTTGCCACTGGCAAAACTCATTCTTGGCTCATCAGGAAGGCTTTTTTAACTCCCTGAAGTGTCAGGTATTTTCAGTTGCCTGTCATTGGCTTCTGATGGTTGTGCCTCAGATGTGCCTCAAACAGCTGGTGACATTCCACAGCTGAAGAGATGCATTCAATCAGTTCAAAACCACGCCAGCTGTGCACTGTGGACACAGGACCGGAAAAATTTAAAGTCTAGCTCCTGGAACTGGGCACCAAGCCCTGGCATTTGTGGCAGATGTGTGGAACAGTGACTGACAGACACCACCAAGGATGCTGGGTGTGGACAGCACGGGCAGCTCATCCATCTGTCTGAAGTGAAGGCTGCAAGGTTTCCTGACTGGGAATTGCCTGCGGGGTTTTGGGGCTTAGCTGTGCAAACCAGACAGGACCGACCCCTCTGCCTGCCCACTGGGGCTGAGCCTCTGAGGCAGCCCTTCTGTGCTGTGCCAGCCGTGCCTGTGCTGGCTGGGCTGTCCTTGTCCTGCCTGTGCTGTCCTGGCTGTGCTGTCCTGGCTGTCCTGGTTGTTCTGTGCTGTCCTGGCTGTGCTGTCCCGTGATATCCTGGCTGTCCTGGCTGTTCTGTGCTGTCCTGTCCTGTGCCATGCTGGGGAATGTTGGGACCTGCTGCAGGAATGCCAGGCTCACTTCTGGCTGCTGTCCAAACCCTTGTCTGCTTGGAGGCCAGATTGTTTTAATCTAGATCACCTATTGCTGATATGTTAAACAATGTAAAATATCACTACAGCTGCCAGGCACTGGCAGGTCTCCAAAGCAGGGTAAGAATCCTCTTAGCATCTCATTCTTGGTAAATATTTTGGTGTGCTGGGGCTTCTCTGGGAACAGCGCAGGCTACTTGCACTCTCACAAACTGCTTTGGAACATGTTCTACTCATTTACATTTTTCAGAGTTTTTGTTTGTTTCACTAAGTGATGACTCCTGTGAAACACATTTTCCCCCTGAGCCTGATTTTCTTCTATAGAGAGCAATTAACTAAGACATTGTATCCTTCAAGGAACCAGCAATTTTAATTAGTATTAAAATTAATTGCAAGCACTTCTCTTTGTAAAGAGCTTTTAAACTAAAAAAAGTTTTGCATTCTGGTATTTTTGTTGTTTTTGTTTCCGTGTGTTCCCCTCTGACGTGTTCTGAGACGGTGCTCAGGGATGACACCAGCAGCTCAGGTATCAGTGAGTACACAGAGGGAGTAATGCACATGAAGTCTGCCTCCTTGCTCCACTTTTGTTTCTCTAATCCAGTTTAGTTTCTGGTTTTCAGGCCTAGTCACTGAATGCAGAGTCACTGCATGGTTACTTTAAGCAAGGGAAAAAGAATGCAGAGATATTTGTAAGAAAAAAGATCCCGTTGAAAAAGAATCAGTGCTGGAACTGATTTTTCAGATATGACAATGGATCCTTTCTGCACCCATGGTGTTTCTGGCCAATGCAAAGACCAAGGAATGACAGCTAATCTCTATCCACCCTCTTTCATCAGCCTATTCCCTGCCTGTGCTTCTGTAGCTCAGCCATGTGGAGCAGATCATCATCTGGCCAATTAGAGCCAGGTAGGCAATTCTCATCAGCATCCCAGATGCAGCTTCTCCCTTCTGCTCAGCCCCTCTTCCCTCACAGCATGCAAACTGCCAACCTTGCTTGTACTCCTAGGAAAAATACAACAGATTTCCTGCAGTTGTAGACAAATATGGATGTTGTTTTGTTGTGGTTTGCTGGAGCTTTACAGTTGCTCTTGTTCAGCCCCTTCCACGAAAATCTCGTGACTTTTTGGGCCAGGAGATTGCAGACAGGGTCCAGCAGGGTCCAGGTGAGCCCCATCGCAGGCTTTCCTGTGTATTTATTCTGACATTTCTATTGTCCCAGCAGCTGCTGGTGTAAATGGAGCAGCACCTGAGTCGTGAGCCCAGTGGAGCAGTGGTAACCACTGACTGGTACCAGGGGCAGTGCTGGGAGAGCTGTGACAGAGCTGCAGCAGCTTCTTCCCATTCAGCTTTTCAGCAAGTGAAACAGAACAGATGGAAAACGACCTCTAAGCTTTACTTAGTGAAATCTTCCCCATTTTTATTGCTTTAGCACTATTGAAGTAATGACAGGTGTGTCATTGAAGCATTATCAGAGCCCACCATGCAGTCCTAGCTCATGTCTGTCACACTGCTTGAGGCCACTTTGCAGGCCTGCTTCAGGGATCATGGCTGGAGAAAAACAACATCCTCAATAACACCACAGAACCCTGCCAATCAACGGGAAATACTGATTCCTGCTCAGCCAGGAAGGCAGCTCTGCCTTGGCCACACAGACAGTCTTACAGATAACTTCTGTTAATTTGAAAAAAGACCCCAGAAAATACCAGTGTGATTAATTCTGTAATTGCTTCTAGAGGAAGAGTTCAACTTCTGCTGCCCTGCCTCTGTTCTCTTTTTAAATGCCCCATGGTCAGAGCTGCTGCTGCAGGGCACGGGGTGATCAGCTGAGGGAGATGCAGAAGCAGAATGCAGGACAGGGACATCTGTCATCAACATTAAGCTGCTCAGGCCGGGGATGTCAGTGTGACACTCAGGGCTCCGTGGTGGTGGCCGGGCTGGGGCAGGTGGACGCTCCCTCCCTCCCTCAGCTGCTGTCCTCCAAGCTGCTGCTGCAGGAGTGGAACCTCATGGTGCTCAAGGGGTCGGACACGTACCCTGCAGGAGCAGAGAGGGTCCCTGCAGCTGGCACGGAGCGCTCCCTGCCCTGAGTGCCAGCACAGCCTGTGCTCCGGGAGCTGGGGCAGCGCTCTGCAGTAGCTCACCGTTTTGGTCCACGGGTGGGTACTGGAAGTTCCTTCTCATGTCATCCAGAGACAGGCCCTGAGACGGGGGTTGCCCAGTGCTGCAATTTAAACAGGAGGTGTCAGTGTGCAAGACTGATGATGGCACATCTCCAGACCGTGAGAACTTTTTTTCCTGAGTGGAAGGAAGGAACAGTACCATGAGGCATCAGCCTGGGGCCTGGCCACAGCAGTGCAGTAAACAAAAAGAGCAAGAAAAAGTCATGAAGTGAGACCATGACCCCCAGGCATGCTGGCACTCAGCTACCCTCCTCAGAGTAACTGCCCTCAAGTACCCCATTTGGGGCTTCACAACTGTCTCTGGATTGCCATTTGGAAACAATTCCAGGCATCAGTCCAGGGTCATTGACATGCTTTTTATGTGTCACTGCTAAAAGGTTCTTGCAAATACATTTCTCAGGCAAGGAAGATGGTGGAATTATCTTCCAGTCATAGACCAAATCCACTGTCCTGCCAACCCTGATCCTAGAGCTGACGGTTGCTGTGTTTGCCCTTGAAACCAGTTCTGCGAGTGGTAGGGTATAATAGCTCAGGTATTTACTTAATGGTACAATGATATAGAACCCATGTGTGTTCCTGCCTTAAAAAACATCAGGAGTTCTTCTTACCCTTCTGTAGCCATGAAATGAGTGATACCCACTTTTAGCATGTACCCTGGTAGGACGAGTCCCAGCAATGCTGACTCCCACAGACCTCTGTCAGGCTCTTCCTTACACAGCTGTCTCTGTACCTGCTGGAAGGCTCTGGGTTCTGTCTGTCTGTCCCTTCCCTTCTCAGCAAGGACGCTTTCACCTCGCCCCGCTGCCCTCCCCGTGGCAGCCTGCGCTCTGGGACGGACAAGCTGCTGGCCTCGAGAGAGAGCAGAGGCGCAGTGCTCTCTCCTGGCCCTGCCAGCTCCCAGTGGCACAGCCCGGTTCTCACTCCAGCCCTGCCAGGGCAGCCGCGGGCCCGGGCTGGCACGCACCGCTGCGCCCAGGCCGCGTAGGCCCGCGCGTTGACGGCGTACTCCAGCTCGAAGCGCGAGCGCAGCGCGGCCACGTGGCTGCGCCCGGGGCCACCGCGCGCCACCAGGCAGTCCGACGAGGACGAGGGAGACAGGGACCCGCTGCTGTTGCTGGAGGCCGGAGACATTAACTGCATTAAAAAAAAAGAGAAAGGTACCATTATGGCATATTTACAACTCTTGTCTCATCTCTCTCTCCTAAGTCATATCCCACTTTCCCTTGGACTTTTCCAGCAGCTCCAAAGCCACCGCTGTCCTTGGCTGCTGCCACTGTCCCTGTCCCCACGTGCACTCCCATCTGCTGGCACTCACACAGACCTCCCCTGCTGGTAGCCGGGTCCTTACCTCAATATTGCACAGACACTCCTCTAACTTTGTGACAACTTCTGAAAACTCTGGTCTGCCCTGTGAACACACCAGGAAAACCAGAGCTGGGTTAAAAATGGAAGGGGGCAGATGTGATGTGATTAGATTGACACACAGGGAAGGGATGAGCCACAGCCCCCATCATTTCCCCTCTCTGAATTTCATGGTACAGCTGTCAGTCTGTTTGGGAATCTGATGAAATCTGCAGGTTCAGTGCTGAGCTACAACATGAAGACCTGTGTGCATACGAACTCTAACTGCAATTCATCTTTTTTTTTTCTGTAACAATTAGATTTGAGCTAATGATGACTAGATCACAAAAAAACTATCAATAACTTACTGGCTCTGCTCTTTAGGCTGCCTTTCTCTTTGCCCATGAACAGGACTTCAGACACAGCAACTGCAGAGATGAGCAGTGGACAAGTTCCTGGCCAGCCTGCCTGTATGGCCATCCTCCTCCCTCCCTTGTCCATGAGAATTGCACTTAATACAACTAAATGTTTACTTCTTTACAGAGCTCAGCCCTAGACCTTATGGCAAATTCTCTGGCTCTAATTAAAGCTCACAAATCCAATTAGCCAATGAAAAAGGCTTCTCAGGAGATGCTGCTAGTCTTCTAATCACCAGCTTGCCTTTGGAAACAGCTGCTGTCAAAAGTTTCTGGGAAACAGATGTTCAAGTACCTGATAAATAGAAACAGGGACATGGCACATGGGAACTAGTTTTCAGCTGGGATGAGCCTTGAATGAAATGAAAGACAAATAAAAGGATACATTTTCTAACTTGGAGTCATTTCATGGCCATCCAGCAAAATCTCTGCAGGTATACTCCATTTTCTGCCTTTTTTTTCTTTAAACTGAGCAGACCTTGTGGAGAATTTTGACCTGTGAACACTCATTGAGCCCCAAAACTCACCTAACAAATGGTAGCAAAGTAAAATAGAGCCTAATAAAGAACAGTAGCAAAAAACTCTTAATAAAGATAGTTTTGACAAGGTTTTGCCCACATCTTGTGCAAAGTTCTGGCCATCCATGGGCTAAATGAGCCATTTTATAGTTCCTAGTTCTGTCCTGAAGCTCTAAAACACTGGCAAGATGAAGTGACATTGGAGTCATACTGATGGGTAACAAACTGCACTGGGACTCTAAAAAGAGTTTGAAAATGGTTTCTCCTTACAGGGGCTGACTGGCTGTGGGAATGCTGACAAGACACAGGGACTGCACCCACCTCAGTGCCTGCTTAAGTCAGCACTTTAATATGATACCTAATTAATGAATTTTAAATGAATGTGTGTTACATGCTGTCATTAACCATTGCTTACAAAAATCTGAGAGCAGCAAGGAATTTTCTACTCATTCTGTAACAGCTCAAGTCATAATCAGCACTACGTGATTAATTAAGTTTTGTTGAAAGGCCAAATGTTAATTTACTTTCCTCCTCAATTCACCAACTCTGCTGCATTTCCTGACACACCCCATTGTCTGCCTGGGGGCTTTCTGCAGTGACCCTTCCCACAGAAACTGTGATTTTGGGGGCATCACCCAGAGCAAAGCGCCCATTTTCCCTCTGCTGGGGGCACTCACCTCAGGACAGGCGTTCCAGCCCCTCATCAGCAAGGCAGAGATGGGCTTGGGGATGGAGTAGCCGATGGGGGGGCGGATGTGGTGATAAGCCATGTCTGCTGCTGCTGCCGCTGCAGGGCACAGCCAGAGACACCCGTCAGCACCCGGAGTCACAGCAACCCCAGCAACAGCCTACCCACCGCTGAGACACCCATCAGCACCCGGAGTCACACCAAGCCCAGGAACACCCTACCTGCCACTGAGACACCCGTCAGCACCCGGAGTCACAGCAACCCCAGCAACAGCCTACCTGCCACTGAGACACCCGTCAGCACCTGCAGTCACACCAACCCCAGGAACACCCAACCTGCCACTGAGACAGCCGTCAGCACCCGGAGTCACACCAACCCCAGCAACAGCCTACCCACCACTGAGACACCCATCAGTCCCTGCAGTCACACCAACCCCAGCAACAGCCTACCCACCACTGAGACACCCGTCAGCACCCGGAGTCACACCAAGCCCAGGAACACCCTACCCACCGCTGAGACAGCCGTCAGCACCCGGAGCCACAGCAACCCCAGGAACACCCTACCCACCACTGAGACAGCCGTCAGCACCCGGAGTCACACCAACCCCAAGAACACCCAACCTGCCACTGAGACACCCGTCAGCACCCGGAGTCACACCAACCCCAGCAACAGCCTACCCACCACTGAGACACCCGTCAGTCCCTGCAGTCACCCTGGTGCCAGGAACACCCTACCCACCACTGAGACACCCATCAGCCCTGCAGTCACACCAACCCCAGGAACACCCTACCCACTGCTGAGACACCCAGCAGGTGGAAACCTACTGCTGAGCCATCCAACCAATGGGTAAAGGCTGGATGGAGGCTGGAGGTTCAAGGGGGCTTTTGCCATCACACCAAGAGCAGTCTGAGATGCCCATCACCATGGCCACAGGCCCAGCTCTGCTCACAGGTCAGACTGCAGTGAGGGTCTCCCTGGCAGAGGGGGCTGAACCCCCCTCCTTGCCCATGCTGGCCCTGACCATGTCCTGCAGCACTCATGACCCCTAGCAGCTCCTGTCAGACATCCAGGGCTCAGAATCTCAGGAGTGCAAAGCGCAGCCCTGGAAATGCTGCTCTGCTGTTGTATAGCCCCCTTACCCCCGGTTTGTGGATGCTGTCCTGAGGAACACAAGGAGATGCACCAAGGAATGGCTCTGCAATCCCAACAATCATGTGAGAGACAGACACCCTGTAGTCAGAGAGTCTTGTTGCTAGTCCTAGACCTAGACAGGATAGTTCTGCACTCTTCACCAAATGCAATATCTCAGTATTTAATAACATACTTCAGTATGATATGGGTTAAAATTACACAGAGTAGCTACTTCTCAACTTCACAGAAATTTAAAATATTAATTCACTGAGCATGTTACCTGGTTTCAGGTGAGCAAAGGGAATTTCCCCCGTTAACAGCTCCCAGAGGCACAGAGCGTAGCTGAAGACATCGGCTTTGATGGTGTACCTTGTGCACTGGGTGAACACCTCAGGGGCCATCCAGCGCAGGTTCTGAGCACCAGCACACAGCAATCACACATTAGCAGGCTTTGCTTCCCCACACAAGCACCTATTCCTGTATTTGTATGTTGGTTTTCCTTTGTTTCCTTATTTCCTGCCTCCATCACTCCATAAAATAATTGGTAATCTGCCAGGAAAAGCTTTCCCCTGGCTTGCAAGATCATGTCAGCGTGTTACAGTGCATGGTACGTAACTGCATTAGCTTGGTGCTGTCTCAGGCCCATAGAGCCAGGCTGAGCTGGCTTAAAATCACAGTGGGGTGAGAATAAAAACAGAACCCCAGGCTCAAGGTCTGGAGACCACATCACGTGGTCTGAGAGATACATGCATATATGCCATATAATAGGAATTAATTACTGCTCCAGCTGGCAGAAGTAAAAGCTGGCAATGGCTGCATTGGGCTGGGGCCTGCAGACCCCCCGTGTGAGGCTGCTTCACAAGCAACTCATCTCTCCCTGGGGTAATGGGCTCAGGGTGGATTTTTAGAGTCCTTGTGCTCCCTACTCTCCACCCATGCAGTGAGTGCCACTACTGAGTGCCAAGGCCTGGGGTAGCACCACCCATCCTCTGGCAGTGCCCCCTCCATCCCATCCCATCCCATTATCCCATCCCATCCCATTATCCCATCCCATCCCATTATCCCATCCCATCCCATTATCCCATCCCATCCCATTATCCCATCCCATCCCATTATCCCATCCCATCCCATTATCCCATCCCATCCCATTATCCCATCCCATTATCCCATCCCAATCACCCATCCCGGCCCACATTGATAGCTGGGATGGTGTGAACATTCCTGGCCATGGAGTGACACACAGGACACCTCTGGACTCAAACCCATGAAGACAACAACTGTCTTGTAAATCTGACTGTGAGCAACAGACTGTGGTGAAGAAAAGAACTGCGAAATAAGGGAACCAGTGCTGAGTGGCTGTCAGAAAAGAACCACCTGCCAACAGCATGTGAGTAGGGAAAAGAGGATTAAAAATAACCCTTTAGTAAGGAATGGGAGCAAGAGAGCTCCAAAGACAGCCTTAAAAAGCATTTTGTACTGCTGCAGATGTTATATAGTCCTTCATCTCTGTTATTGAAGACAGAGGAAAAAAATAAAACCTAGACAGAGAAACATTAAGAGTACATCTGTCCATCTATTCCAACAAATGTATTTCCAATGTCTTCTTCTCCTATACCTGTATGTTTGATATTAATTATGTGCATCAAAAAAAGAAACAAAAGAAACAAACCCCAGGTTGTTTTGTCATGTTGTCTTCATCCAGGGATTGCAGAAATCGAGATTCTGAAGCAGAGCAAGAAAATTATTACTCTCAGGCCAATACACTTATTATACAGAAGTCCTACCTTAGGTCCAATTCCAATTACCCTCTCAGTAAGCACATATTTAGTTTTAGAGAATTTGGGGTTAATTTATAAGTGTTTAATAAAAACTCCTTACCTCCAAAATCAGCGACTACTGCATGACCATCCTCATACAGGAGAATATTGTGACTGGGGAAAAAAAAAAACTATAGGTAATTGTTTGATAGCATCTTAAAGATGGTGAAAATGCTACAGTTTTTGGGTCATAGCTAAACATTTGAGTTCAAATCACCTCCTTGGATAGCTAAATGTCTATAGGCATGCTCATATTTACTGTTATAAACTACACATTACCCCAGAGAGGGCAAGCCAACCTTTGAGTGATTTGCATGCAACAAATCCAGAGAGACTTTTAGAAACTGGCAACAAAAACACAGGGTTTCAAACAAAATAGAAATTTGGGGAAAGACCCACAAGCTGCTTTAGCTAGGTCACAAGTTTCCAGTACCTCTGGAGATGAAGATTTCCCTGCCCCAGCCACTACACCTTCATGGCATAGGGCTGTGGAAGGGCTGAGCAAATCACAACATAAGGAATGAGAACACAGCAATGCTCTCAGGATGTTTATCAAATGCTGACTGAGCCAAGAAAATTCAGAAGAGTGAAAAGTATATGAAAAACAGAAATGAAAAAGCTGGCAAGAGTTTCATGAGGAGGGAAAATGGAAGTAATATTGATGGTCTCAACAAAAAGCACAACTTGCTCATATTAGAGCTGCGGATACAAACAAGAACAGCCAAGTGAGGAACACAAATTTTACCAGATAACAGTCTTAGGACAGAAAAAAATTTAAGCTTTCCCAAGCAGGACTCCCACAAATCACTGTCTTCAAGATTTCCACCTTCACCTAAACCCAACCCTTGGGATGATAAATTTAATCATAAAAATGTAACCATGACTCTCTTGATTTATATTCAATCTGATTTTAGCTCTCATATGTACTTTCCATCAAAATATTGACGTGATTTTAGTATGACATGTGGAATTGTTTTGAGACCCACACCATATGCCACATGAAAATATGAATCAAATACAAGGCTGAACTGGAGAGACTCGAAGGCTGTGCCCCAGGGTGGGTGTAGGTACACAAGTCATACAAAGTCAGACTTTGCTGTGGTCTTCACTCAAATTTGGCCTCTGTCAGTAGGGACAGAAATTATCACCATGTCTCAATGTGAATAAACTGCACTGAGCTCCAGCTTCAACTTCAATCTATTCCAGGATTGTGTAGAATAAATCCAGCTTGACAAGTCAAGACATAATGAAGACCTAGGCTGACAGTTTGTGTGGAGAAGCAGAGAAATAAACTGAAATTCCCTTTCTCCTCATGTCATGCATCAGCCTTTCATAGAATCACAGAATCTTTGAGACTGGAAAAGAAGTCTCCAGGACCTCCAGGATCACAGAGTCCAACCTGTGACAACCCCCAGCCTGTCCCCAGCCCAGAGCACTGTGTGCCATGTCCAGCTGTCCTTTGGACACCTCCAGGGATGGGAATCCACCACTGCCCTGGGCAGCCTCTTCCAATGCCTGAGCACCCTTTCAGTGAAGAAATTCTCCCTCATGCCCAGCTTGAACCTGTCCTGGCCCAGGATCTGAGCCACAGTGCAGAAATGCTCATCTTGGTGCTGAGTGCATTGATGGGCATGTCTGAGAGCAGGCAGCAGGCTCTGGGGGGGTTTGTCAGACTGCACCTCCAGGGAGCACTACAGTTACTGATCTTTCTTTTTTAAAGTAAAAAATACACCCCACAGAAATAAGGCTTGGAAGGTACATCTTAAAATGTTCTTATTGCCTCAGTTGCACTTGAAAATTTGAAAACCTCAGATGAAACAGGTATTGAGTTACTGACTTTTCTTTTTTAAAGTAAAAAATACACCCCACAGAAATAAGGCTTGGAAGGTACATCTTAAAATGTTCTTATTGCCTCAGTTGCACTTGAAAATTTGAAAACCTCAGATGAAACAGGTATCCTTAAGCTTGTGTTTTAAGAAATACAGCAAAAAAAATCCAAGCTGAACTGAGCTGGCGGAAGACTAATATTGAGTTCAGCAGAATCAGAAATTAATTGCCCTCTGTTAAGGTCACACAGGGATTGCAGTGGTGAGAGGAGGCATTGTTCTCTTCATGAAACTGTGGAAGGAAGAAAACAAGATAAGACAGAGGAGTGTGCTTTGTGAAAGGACAGGGTGCTGGGGTCTGCCAGGCACGGAGGCTCCTCTCTCCCATGGCAAGTGACAGGCTCAGCATGTCCCTTTCACAGGGATTCGGGCCATTAAGAGATCCTTCTGCCTTTAACGTGCTGTGGGTGTAATGAAAAGCAATGGATATTTTAAGATTTCACAAGGGATATTTCAACAAAGAGGAGTCACAGACTCCATCCTCATTACCACCAGGCTGCTGTCCTCTCTTTCATGTCCCTCACCAAGCAGCTCTCAGAAGTGTTCACACATAGTTAGAGTCATCAAAAGCAGGTCAGTCCCTCAAAGGCTTCCTCCAGCCATGTTCAGATGTAATGGCTTAAATTAAATGGATAATAAAATGGTCTCTCTTTTATTAAAGTGCTATAATCATTGTGGCTGCCATCCCTCACCACGGTGTAAGTGGTAATAAGTTGATGCATGTCACCATTTCTGATGGCTGTCAGAACTGAAAAGCAAAATAAAACTCCCAATTATTCTTCAAATGGAAGGATAACCCCTTTTCCAGGGTAGAGACACGAAAGATTAGTTTTCTTCTCTATTCTGTCAAGCCATATTGCAGGTTTATTTAATGCATTATATGCAGTGCATTAGATTTCAGAATTCACAAAGGTGGTTATGCGTTATGCAAAAATTTAAGGTAAAAAATATGAGGCTCCTGTGAAGCCACTGGCAAAACTTAACACAGAATTTCCCTCTTAGTCTTTCTCTTAAGCTGTTGCAAAGATTTTCATCTGGTAATTGTGCCTGTGGGTTGGCTGGGACTCATGCTGCAAACATGACTCCTGCTCTTGCACTAAACCTTCAGAAGCAGCACACATCAATGGCACCAGCAACCCCAGAGCACATTATCTTCTGACCCTGACAAATTTGATCTGTGCACTGCTGTGGGGCTTTCTGGCTCTCTAGGAGGACACTGGCTTGGGTTTTCTTTTGAGGAAATCATTATTTAAAATCCTTCAAGGCAGAACCGTTCTCCTAAGAGCCACCAAGGCATGGAGCTGCACTGTGAGGTCTCAGCCCTGGCTGCCCCAGAGCAGCTCCACAGGCTGCAGAGTCAGGCACGGGGCTCCTGGCTCTGCCACTGCCTGGGAAGCAAGGCTCTGCCTGGAACAACACAGGTCTGTGGCCTGGCAGGACTGGGCAGGGATGCAGGTACGTGGAGGAGCCTCAAAGGACAGTGGGGGATGCCATTCCAGCCTGCCCGCTGCTCTGCAGGGCTGACAGAGCTAAGAACCACGCTTGGGCTTCAGCAAAAGGATCATTTTCACCTCCAATCCTGCAATCAGCGCAGCTCAGCTGTTTCATCCCCTGCTGCTGCAGCATGCACAAGACTGCTCCCACAGCTAGGACAGACAGAACGGGCTTTTCCCTGCAGACACCGAGGCCTCAGTGCTCCCACTGGGACGCACCAAAGAGATGGATGAGTGCCCATCCCGTGCAAGATCCCAGCTCCCAGGGGCAGCAATCAGAGCTGCTGTTAGCTGTAAAGGAGCCAAGCAAACCAAGGAACACACCAACTCTGTGATTATGGGGAAATATTTACAGTAAAAGGGACAAAGCAAAGGGATGGAGATGAAGCGATGAGGGAATGTGACCAAGTGCCCTTTGACAGGCCGTGTTAGGCTGAAACTCAGCACTGGAAAACAGAGATTCAGGAAAACAGATGCAGGAAAACACTGTGAGTGACTGCAGCCTTCCAGGACAACCACAGCTCAGCTACTGTGACTTGTACAGGTTTGTATAAACCCCTGAGATTATTTTCAGCTGAGTGCTAATGAGGTTGCAGGAGACTGCACATTGTCCCTTTGAGCTTTCATGTTGTCTAAATTTTTAGGTTAGAGACAGAAACTGACCTGTTCAGATCCCGATGTATGATGGGCTGCGTGAGATTGTGGAGGTACTCCATGCCTTTGGCCACATCTACAGCAATGATTAATTTAGACTGCAGATCAAGAATTCTGTAATTTGCAAAAAAATAAAAGATTACTTGAAGTTAATAGACAGTTGAAAATTATTCTGATCTGTAAATCATGCAACATTTAAAACTGTTTTACATACAAAATAATGTCACATAATCTATGTAAAGTAAATCTATGTACTGTAAAATAATGACAATAGCAAGTTTGTGAAGACTTATCAGTTTACCTTGTATACCCAATAAACTGAACCAAAGCTCAACATTTTCTAGGTGTTCCTTTCTCTGTTGTCCTATGCTAAAATGAATATTTACAGCAGCTTAGGTCCCCTGCTCTTCCAAACCCTGAGAGCAGGCCCGCTGGTGGATGAAGGCAATACCTCTTCTGCTCGTGGAGCAGGGAGAAGAGCGATCCCCCAGAGATGTACTGGGTGACAATGGCAAACTGGCTGGGGTCATCCAGGCAGGCTCCCACGAACTGGATGACGCAGGGATGGTTCAGGCGGCACAGGATGGAAACCTCGCGGCAGAACATGTCCACGTCAGACTTGGAGCAGTAGGTGTTGGCTCGGTAACTTGGAATTGACAGGAAGCAGAAGGCAAGGGCATCATAAAATGTGGGCTTTTGGAATGCTTCAAACCAGGTGGTTGACCAAGCAGGATGGAAAAGCCTGACGAACTTACCGTTTGATTGCAACAATTTTATTTCTACATCGTCCCTTATAGACTTTTCCAAAAGACCCTAAAATAGTTTAAAATAAGTAAGCTCAAACATGTTTGTTATGAAGATCAAACATTTAAAGTGAATGCACTTTCAGTTCTGGTACCTGAGCCAATGATCTCGTGGAACTCTATCTCAGAGAGCTGCAGGTGGAAGTGTGATGGCAAACCAGCTCGGAGGAGGAGCACATCAGCCTTTTCTGCAAGAGAAACGCCCACTCTGTTTGTAAAACGTGGCCAGGGGGAGGACCACGCACAAAAGCACTGCACTTCAGAACTCTAGCACTGGGAAAGCTGATTTTTGCTGTAAATTCACTGCTGATCCTGCTCCCTGCTACAGCAAAGCCCAGTGACAGACACACCTTGCAATGCCACAGGGCTCTCCTGGCTTTAGCACCAGCCAGCCATCAGCACTGCCCCTCGTTCCCAAACTCTGCCTGCACCACGGGATGGCAGCACAGAATTCCTTACATGGAGAATTCATCCCTTCCCTCCGGGTAGCCAGTGCTCATTGCTGGGGATGCTGTTCCAGAGCCGACTGGGTGACATGTGGAATCTGAACTTTGCAACTGAATTTAGTTGTTAAATGTCTCTATCTTGTTGATCTTCTTAGTTTATTATTATAAAGTTCATCAGAATATTTCTAAACAGAGCATTTTGATGCTGCTATGTAAAGGATGTAAGGATTTGATTATATTCAGAGTGAACATTTAAAGTGGAAAATTGAAACTACCACAAAAAAATAAAAAGGAAATATCTTAAAATACCTTAAAATATTTATCTGAATGTTTCAGCTGTATTTGTTTCAGAGCAACACAAATTATTAATTTTTTTTGGAAAGAATTTTTCTTATAAGGATAATTCAGGCATTCTATGTTGTGATTTAAATGATTCTTATTTGCATTCATGGAGAAATGGGTATTTCATTAGTGATTTTTTTTTTCACATCACAGCCTTTCCTCAAAGAAATAAAAAGAAATAAATATATATTTTTTAAGTGAATGAAAACAAAGCAAATACAGGAATTGTCATTATACTAAGTAACAAAGCTAAGTATATTGTTTCCTAATATTATCCCAGGGAAATGGAACAATGTACCATAAAAAGTCCAGGAATAATGAATCCTGTGCAGGATGTTCAGGCTGACAAACACATTGGATCAAAGGACCACAAAAGTTCATGTTTTCCCTTGCCATTGCAAATACCTTTTGTCATGCTTTTAATCTTCCCCAGCGGGGATGGCACTGACACGTAGGAACCATCTGAAATAAAGAACAGAGTGAAATTAGGGAGTTAACGACAACATGGTGATGGTGTTGATAAATGAACGAGTCAGTGATGCCAGAAAGAATTATTAATAAAGGGTGAGAATTCAGATAAACACACTGGCACATCTGATGGGAGTGGTTTGGGCTGGGATACAGTTAATTTTCCTCACTGTGCCAGGCACAGCAGACTGGGGTGTTGTATGGCTGCAGCCTCGAAGGGAATCTGTGTATGGCCAGAAAATGGTGAGTCCCATGACTGTGACTTTATTTGTGCTGGACAGGACTGACCCAAAGCTCTCTGACAGGGGTGCAGCACTTCCAGAGATTTCAGCAGTCTTTGGATCAGGCCCTTTGAATAAAATGATGGCTCAGCCCATACCTCCTCCAGGCTGGGAGTATTCGTTGCAGGGGGATTCATCCTGAGGTCTCTTGTAATGCTTCAGGAGGGTCACAATTGCATCGTGACCTAGGAAAGAAAGAGGAATACAAGGATTTGCAGGTAATGCAAAAGACTTTTTAAAAAATTAATTTATACGAAATCAGGGGATTTTTAAAAAATGTAAAACATGACTAAAAAATATGCAAATACAGGGTGATGTTAATCTAAACCTACTGTGATTCCAAATTGTACAAATATGGGAAATTTCTGCCAGCAAAAACAAGAATACTATTTTCTTGAGTCCAGCTACTCCTAAAATGTAAGATATGGAAAAGGAAAAACCCTGCTGCAGAAATCCTGCAGTGGAAGTTGACAAGAGTCTTCAGTGAACTCTTCTTGAGTTTGTGCTGGATTAAACTAATGCTTAGCAGAGATCTGAGATGACAAATTGAAGGGCTGGTGTTTATAACCCTCAGTGCCCGGGGAGCAGGTGTGGGAGCTCTGTCTGCAGGCACTGGCAGGTTATTTTGCAGCCTTATCTCCTGCCCAAGCTGCCCTCTCCTTCCTGCAGAGCTTCTGTGGGTTTTGTAGCAGAAAGCGGAAAATTGAAATACCTTTCTCATAAGCCCACATCAGACAGGTCTGCTCATCCTTTTCTCCACTGGACCTGCTGGGATCACAAGCTACAAGATTCATATCAGCTCCGTTATCCAGCAAGAACTGCACAAGGCGAATGTGGCCATGGTAGCAAGCACAGTGCAATCCTGCAACACCAGAGAAGTGTGGGGAGCACAGCTGTCAGAACGTGGCCACGGGACTGCAGCAACAACTGTAAAGTGCAAACTGATCTCCTCGATAAAAAAATATGTTGTCAAAAAAATACCTGAGGCAAGAGGTGAAACATTAAGTCTGCAAGAACCAACCTATTGCCTCTGCACAATGTGCCACCACTTGCTTTGCCACCTGCAAACCACATTTAATGACCCTGTATGTGAGAAAATCAAGTGGAAACAAAGGCAGCTCTGTGTGGTGGGGACAGGAAGGTGTGCAGCCCTTCAGACACTACATTCCAGAAGCCTATCTCTTTGCAGAATAATTTCTAACACTACTTAGAAGCCTTAATATGGGAGGAACAGTTTACACCAGGTTTTGTTACTCATATACACCCTAATGAGCCTGATACATCCTCACTGAAGTCTTATCACTTCTATGCCTCCAGTAAAAATATTTCAAAAAAGCTGTGCTCTGAAAGGTACTTGTGTGCTGGAAATCCTGGTGGTGTATGGCTTCCCAATATTTGGTGCTGGTATATACCCCCATACACAGTAAGTATGGTGATGTTACCTGTGTGCCCATCTCTCCCCTGATGATTGATGCTTACGACATTCTGGTCAAGAAGAAACTTGACAAGTTCTATGTTCTTTCCATAGGTGCAAGCACTGCAGAAGTAAAGGGAGTGGTGAATGCTGTAGTCCATAAAAGAGGTACTTTGGGTAGCCAAAAAAGAATTACAAAGAGTTAAAATGCAGTAATAAAGGATCATTAGAAATGTGCAAATGCATGATTAATCCACCAGAGCCTATTAATTTTTATTGTTTCAGAAACATTCTCATTATTGCTGAACCACCTAATTTTGCAGAGTTGTGCAAACCCTCTGTGTTGCAAAGTGCCTCTTAAATAGCCCTTTACAAAATTCCAGCAGGCCAACAAACAGTCTTCTGCCACCTGGGTTCTTGTTCAGAGTACCGGGCTCCAGCAGGCATCCAGGTGGAACAAGCTCTGATCCCAGCTCCCAGGCTTGACAAGGAGAGGAACCATTGCCCAGCCAGGTGTTGGGGAACCTGATCCTGCTTCTGCCTCTTGCTTCATGCCCTGTCACATATCTCATGACAGAAATCACCCTCCCTCTGTAGCTTCCTGCTCGCTCTGTCCCTCACCTGGCTGCTGGGGAGACATTTGTGATTCTGGGTGGTGTGTGACATTTGAAATTCTGGGTGTTGTGAGACATTTGTTATTCTGGGTGGTGTGTGACATTTGAAATTCTGGGTGGTGTGAGACATTTGTTATTCTGGGTGTTGTGAGACATTTGTGATTCTGGGTGTTGTGAGACACTGGTAATTCTGGGTGTTGTGAGACATTTGTAATTCTGGGTGTTGTGAGACATTGGTAATTCTGGGTGTTGTGAGACATTGGTGATTCTGGGTGTTGTGAGACATTGGTAATCCTGGGCGTTGTGAGACATTTGTGATTTTGGGTGGTGTGTGACATTGGTAATTCTGGGTGTTGTGAGACATTTGTGATTCTGGGTGTTGTGAGACATTTGAAATTCTGGGTGTTGTGAGACATATGTGATTCTGGGTGGTGTGTGACATTTGAAATTCTGGGTGTTGTGAGACATTTGTTATTCTGGGTGGTGTGTGACATTGGTAAGTCTGGGTGTTGTGAGACATTTGTAATTCTGGGTGGTGTGAGACATTTGTAATTCTGGGTGGTGTGAGACACTGGTAATTCTGGGTGGTGTGTGACATTGGTAATTCTGGGTGTTGTGAGACATTGGTGATTCTGGGTGTTGTGAGACATTGGTAATCCTGGGCGTTGTGAGACATTTGTGATTTTGGGTGGTGTGTGACATTGGTAATTCTGGGTGTTGTGAGACATTTGTAATTCTGGGTGTTGTGAGACATTTGTAATTCTGGGTGTTGTGAGACATTTGAAATTCTGGGTGTTGTGAGACATTTGTGATTCTGGGTGGTGTGTGACATTGGTAATTCTGGGTGTTGTGAGACATTTGTAATTCTGGGTGGTGTGTGACACTGGTAATTCTGGGTGTTATGAGACACTGGTAATTCTGGGTGTTGTGAGACACTGGTAATTCTGGGCGTTGTGTGACATTGGTAAGTCTGGGTGTTGTGAGACACTGGTAATTCTGGGTGTTGTGTGACACTGGTAATTCCGGGTGTTGTGCTGCACATTTGTGTAAGTGGAGCTCCACTGACAATGGCATTTGAACACCTCACCTGTGGAAAGCTGTTTCACTGAATATATTTTCTTTAGTGAGACTTTCTGTTCCTGAGAGCTGAATTATTTCCTTGACAACTTCAAACTTCCCATTGTAACAGGCACTGAAGAGGAAGCCAGTACAGAGGTGTTACAAAACCAGCCTTCCCAAGAGCCCCAAACCTGTCCAGTTGCTGCTCCAGGGCACTCACAGGTGCAGAGGTGTGTCTCCATAGATATTCACCACGTGGGGCTGCACCTCGAAGCTGCTCTGCAGTAAGAACTTCACAATATCATGGTGCCCAAACCGAGAGCAGAAGTGCAGAGGCACATGATCTTCGTTGTCCTGAGCATTCACTGCCGGATGACCCAGAAAAAGATCACAGAAAGGATTTTATCCTTAACACAGTGTGTCTGGGATTGTTTGGGATATTTAGTAGGATTGTATGTGCTGTGTCTATGCATTTTGAAACCTCCTGGAAAAAATATTTGTGGATGTATTTGTTTAAAATTGAAATTTCTGTATCTTTTGGATATCAAACCCACATTGCTCTGTGCCACCTGCAGTGCACTGTCAAGGTGATTTTCAGAACTTGGAGCATGACTGCTTTCTTCCAGCTGCAAACTTATTGAGTCTTTTGACAAAGCTTTCCATGAAGGAAACATGAGTTATAAATGACCCTTAGAAAGAGCAATTTTGAAGCAAAAGTATGATAATAGCAACACCAACAGAACTGGGAACGTCCAGGCAGCACAGAACTGCTGGCATCTACCAGCAGCAGCCAAATATTCCAAGGGCAGGTGCACAGAGTGTCCCTGGGGGATCTGTGAACTGCAGATGGGAATGCTGGAGGCTGCCAGCTGTCACGGAGCACATCCATGCCAGGAGCTCCTGCCTGCTCGTGGGTGGGACGGGCAATGGCTGCGGCTCTGGGCTCACTGAGAGTCACACCGTGTCAAAAGAAACAGTTCAAGTTTGTGACCCCAATTACTGCTCTGCTCCGAGCAGTGCCAAATTTATTCCAGTTCTTTCTCCAGTTCCTTTCATTCCTGGGCACTAAAGACTTTTCCTCTGCTGCTGCATTTACAGCAAGTTTCAAAGCATGCTACTTTAAGAGCAAAAGGCTTCCCGCTTCCAGTCTCCCTTTTCTTTTTTTCTGTGCTGAAGATTTTGAGTTTAAAGAAAAGGACCTGAAACGGTGCCCCAGATTCTTTTCTTTTGGTATAAACTCTCTAACAGAGGGCAAACCTCCCACTGCCTTGTCATGATGAGAGAACGTCTCTTTTTTCCCCCGTTTACTATAATTATATCAGCCCAGTGCACACACATGGAGGCTGAAACACCCTGAGCTCACTCTGAAAACAGCACACAGACCTGATTGTGCTGCTTCCCTTTTTATTGCAGGAGGAGGATGTGTGATTGCAGGCAGGACTCACAGAGAACATGGTAAACTGATGTGCTAACGAGCAGTACGTTTCCAAGCAATGTACTGATACTTCCCAAAAAACATTTCTGTCTCTTACTCTAAGAAATTAATTTTTAAATAATTTGGAATTTGCTCAGTATTTCAAAGAATTGTAGAATGGCCTGGGTTACAAGGGACCCTGATCTTTAAGTCAGGGACACTGCCACTGTCCCAGGTGCTCCAGCCCCAGTGTCCAGCCTGGCCTTGGGCACTGCCAGGGATCCAGGGGCAGCCACAGCTGCTCTGGGCACCTGTGCCAGGGCTGCCCACCCTGCCAGGGAAGGATTTTTTCCTGGTCTTTAATCTAACCCTGCCCTCTGTCAGTGTGAAGCCATTCCCCTTGTCCTGGCACTCCAGGAGTAAATAGTCTCTCTCCATCCTTCTTTAAGGCTCCCTTCAGGTACAGGTAAGAATCTCTGCACTGACAATCACAACATGCCAAAAATGTCACCTGTAAGCATTTGTATGCCTTGGTGGGTGTGTCAGCAGTATGCAGGGGCACACCTGTGACACAGGTGACACACAGGTGGCACAGCAGTGGAGGAGAAAGGCTGGAGTGTGGCACATTTTGTGCTTTCAGCATTACTGAAGCAGCTAAAGGAGTGGGAACAGAGCAAGAACAAGAACCCGGCAGAACTGCCAGCTGCACGCTGACATTAGCCTCAGGAGAAAATATTTTACATTTTATATTAATGCAGAATATAAGCAACGAAGTGCAATGTCCCAGCCTGAGTGACATCACTGCGAGGCCACCTCAACTAAGAACTCATCCAATGCCCAAAGTGTGCTAAGACGCTTTTGTTCAGCCCATCAAGTCTTCACACAGGAAATTTCTCAGACAGAAAATGGCCCACAGTGAAGAGAGGGAAGTTTGTGGAGCATAATAAATCATGTGCTACAAAATCCCCTTTTCTGTGGAATTTTGACTTCCATATGAATTATTTTAAATTACCTGCTGCATAATTTTGACTTAAAATTGTTCTCCTGTACCTCATTCACTAGTTCTCTGTGCATTTGAGTTACTCTGACTACACATCCCCACCACATATTCCCTGCTTGGATCAATGTCCAAAAAATAATCCACCTCTGTATATTCATCTTAATTTTGTTTTCTGCCCCTGTTTTTCACCTCTAACTTATTACTGAAAATAGAGTAAACGTGAGATGACAAACCAGCATACTTAACCAAGGAAAGCTTTCCAGCTGCTGTTTTCTTGTTTTAGTTGTCCAAAGATGATATACAGTCTCACATACAAAGAGTATGTGCTAGGAAGCTAAGACTCTGTCTAGAAAATGCAGTGTTAAAGATGATTTTTAGATATATTTTCTTACCATCAGCTTTGCTTCCCTCTTCCATCAAAAGCTTTGTGATGTTGAGAAAGCCTTTGGCAGCAGCCAGGTGGAGAGGTCTGTCCCCAACTTCACCACTCGCATTCACATCGGCTCCAAACTTCAGTAACAGGTGGGTTACCTAAATATTTAATTAGGGTTAATTAAAACATCACATGAAAATAAAACCTTGAGAAAACCAGATACAATAGTGCATTGGGTAATACTATATGTGAGCACCTCTGTAAAGTTAAAACAGGGAGAAGAGATTCAATAGAAAACTCATTTTGGAGTTACACGTCTACAAAAACATTAAAATGGTCAGAAGCATGCAGACACTCATTCTCAAGCACAGTCTCGGTGGTGGAAGGACACCAGAGCACCCAGCAGGGCAGAGGAACAGCTCAGCCCCCAGGGCAGGGCTGTGCCTGCCCGTCACCTGCTCGTGGCCGCGGTAGGCAGCGATGTGCAGCGGCGTGAAGAACACGGCGTCCTGCACGTTCACGTAGGCGCCGTGCTGCAGCAGGATGTCCACAGCCTGCAAGGAAACCAGCAGCAATGCCCACCTCGAGCGCGCCGCACGGACCAGGGCGCGCGGGTGCTCAGGCAGCGTTGGTGATTCCTCTCCGTGTGTGGAGACACGAGGCTTGACTCCATTTCAGATGGCTGATTTATTATGTTAGATATTATATTAAAATGCTATATTAAGACTATACTAAAAGAACAGAGATCAGAAGGTTACAACAAGAACAGAACAGAATAGAATAACAAAAATCCTGTGACTGCTCACAGCCTTGGCACAGGTGGCTGTGATTGGTCATCAATGGAAAACAATCCACATGGACCAATCATGGATGCACCTGTTGCATTCCACAGCAGCAGATAGTAATTGGTTACATTTCTCTCCTGAGGCTCCTCAGCTTCTCAGGAGAGGAAAAATCCCAGCAAAGGATTTTCATAATATCATGGCTACAAATCAGGGCTTTGGGACCTCATGCCTCCCGTTTAAAGAATGTCAAACAGCCCCAAACAATGAGATAAAGGTGCAGAGCCGGACACAGCGTGTAAAGGTGATTAACTTACAGTTCTTGGACTGAACACTGAATGTCACTGATGCTTTATAAATGAGCCTGAAAATCGGCGTGCCACTAAAAAACCTGATTTATGAAGTAAGAGGCACAGAAATGGCTGTCTGGAAATTCTCTCTCATAAACAACCTTAATTTGCTTTTAGCCATTATGAACAAGGAGCTGTAAACATATCAGAGTTTTTAGAAGTGAAAAAGTCACACAAAATGAAAGAACCTTTTAAATCTAAATGTGTGAAGGTAAATCCTCAAACATGGAAAGATTTCTTTGTATTTTAGAAGAGAAGAGCTCTTTGGCGTCAATAACTAACCTTAAGTGCTTTCTTTCAAATTTCTACTTTTTTTTGGTCCCTCAGGAGGCCCATTTTTTTCAAAAGCCATGAACTCTCAAGAAATGCCTTGCAATAGAAGCCTGAATGAAACCACTTTGGGTTCTACACTGAAGCCTGAGGGGGGTTTTCTGAAGCACGGGGGAATCCTTGGGCTGAGGATTACTGCACAAGTTCTGATGGGTGCAAAGGTTTGAATGTCAGGATGATGGAAGACACTGGACCAGGAGCCACGACAGGTGAAGAGCTGGGATTGAAGGCTGCCAAGGACGGGGCAGGGCCAGCTCCTGCACTGTGCTGCTCACACAGGTGCCTGCCCACCAAGAGCAGGGCAGCCAGTGCCAGCTGCCACTGTGCACATCTGTCACCCGCTCCCTTGGCTCAGACCCCCAAATCACAGCAAATGTGCATAAACAAGGACAGTCAGTTCAACCCAGGGAACTCTGGAGTGCTCAGAGGACACAAACCCTTCCCCAGCAACATTAGTGCACAGGGATTGCTTCTTTACACAACTGCAATTATACTTTTTTCATAGGATTGCCTGAAGATATTTTCTGCACAACGTCTGTGCCCTGACGTATGTAAATGTCTCCATTTCCCATTACTTTGACCATTTTCCTACGGCATCAGCAATGATTTCCCCTGGAGGCAGCACTGCAGGGCCAGGTCTGATTATTGCCAAGTCTGGGGGTTCTGCATGCTCCCTGGAATGCCCTCAGTGCTGCATCACTCTCGTTGTGATCCCCTCGCCCCCTTCACAGACAGTCAGAATTTCCCTTGCTAAATGGCACGTGTGTTGACATCCTTTACTGCTGATCTCAAAAAAAGCATTTGACTACATCACAAAGATCTGAAGAAAGATCCCCTGAGATCTTTCTGCTGGCTGTTCTAGCAGCTCAGCAACAGGCTCTCATGGGATGGGTGGGAATGAGCTCAGGTGCTAAATAAAGAACACACTCCATTATTTAGTTAACACAGCAGATTCCCTGCACTCTGTTTCCCACGTCTGGCCAATTTTCAATATCTTGGTGGGCCAGAGGTGGGAACACAGAGCCAGCCAGCCAGGGATTTAATAGTTTGGTGGCTTTCAAATGATTAGTCTAAGACATTTTCCAGCAAACTACCATGATAAAACTGAAGTTGTAGCTGCTGTCTCTGAAAAGAGATGTTTGGGCCTGTAGCTTTTACACTAATATGACTGAAATTTCTTTGGATCAGCCTGATTTTAATTTAGCCATGAACTGTGAGTCTGCAACACTTTCAGGGATGTGACCATAACTCCAATTAATAACTCCATACTCTCCTCAAACTGTTTGGGAGCTGGAATTAAAAATTTAGATTCATCTAGAAGCCTTCAAGGTGGATCTTCAAGGTGAAAAAACTGTGTTGAGTGATGTGGATCCATCCCTGATGATGAACATAAAACTAGATGGGTTTTGACACATTTTCCAGGCTGTAGCAATGGCAGCCGTGCTCGCTGCTTTGTGATCCCCTGATAAATAGAATTTTGTGTGCTGTACTAAGCAAACTCCACTCAAGTGTAAATGATGAGAGGGGTACAGAGACAGGCTTGATAGTTTCTGAGACAAGATATCTTTCTAGGAAAGAAAAAAGGAGTCTTAGAAAGCACTGAAAGCTGTCATAGGCATCACAAGTAGGAGGCTATGCTGGAGAGATGTGCAAGGATAGAAATACTTCAGAAACTAAGGAGAAAAAAAAAAATTTTATCCTCAGGAGACTGACAGTGAGTGAAGGTGAAGCTTGTAACCCAGGGGACGTTCCCAAGCTGCAGAGAAAGCAGCTGGGTGGGCTGGTCTGAGGCAGCCAACAGCATCCCCGTGGGGTTCACACCAGCACAACCTGCAGAACAAGGGGAACTAATGCTTCCCTTCTCCTTCTACAACCAAATGTTATTTCAAAACAATACTTTAAACAACTTGCACAATATTCTTACTTTGAATTTTTTCTTAAAATTCTCTTAAAGGTTTATTCAGAAGTTTTTTGAATGCTCAAGTCAATGATTTTCACTTCAAAGACAATTAATTAAGCCACTCTTAAGGTTAAAAGGATCCAACAAAAACCCCATGAGACAGACGTAAGGACTTTGTCTTTTGGAAAAGGGCAAGGGATAAAAACTCATCCTTGTAAGGGGGTTTAAAAAAATTATTCCATGTTTCCATGAATATTAATGAAATAGTGGACAAAACAAGGTACTTTATCTGGCAGAGGAACTTCTGAGCTGACTGAAAATTTCACAGCTATGTAAAGAAGGAAAGCAAGAACTTGGACTATAAATCCTTGGTTCCCAGAGCAGCAGGTGAACCAAATGAGTTTAAATATATAGAGTCCCCCTCCATTTATGGAGGTGCTTCTGATATAGAGTTGATCGTTCCCAAGGAAGAAAAAAGAACTTTCAAAACTACTAACAGTTTATTTCTTATTGAGTTAATACTGTTGGCTTGCGAGCATCCTAAACTTGCCCATAACCTCAGCAGGAGCTCAGGATGTGGGAGCAACAGCAGGTGTGCCTTTGGCAATTACAGCAGAAGGCCCAGATGTTTTAGAAATTACTTGAAACCCCAGAGTGCTCAGAGAAGACCTCTTTGTACTGTCCACAGAGGAGACATTCAATACCTGTGAATGAGACCATCCTAGAGTCAGGGCTCAGGTTAACAGCTCCACCATCATTCTGCACAGAACCATCAGAATCAAAGAATCATCAAGGTTGGAAAAGACCTCCAAGACCTATCAAGTCCAACCTTTGACCTGCGTCCTTTTGTGCATGTTTGCTCAGCGTAAACATACATGCACAGACACGATTTTCCGGAAATGCAGAAAAAATCAGGCCGGTTCTGTGTTGTGCTCTGAAAGACAGCAAGGCCGAACAGAGCGGCCTGCCCGCAGCAGCACGTACCTTGCGGTGGCCGGCGATGGTGGCGACGTGCAGGGCGGTCAGCGCGCCGTACCCGACCTGCTGGATGTCGGCCCCGCCGTGCAGCAGCGCCGTCAGCAGCTCCGCGTCGTCCTGCAGGCCAGCGTTAACCCTCACGGCTGCCGGGACAGGCCCTCAGAGCTGAGGGAGCCCCAGCAGCCCTGGCTCCCCGGCTGCGGCACCGCGGGCCGCGGTGGACAGGGCCCAGCGTGGCCCGGGGGCTCCGAGTGCCACGCGAGGCTGGGCGAGCTCTGTCCGGCACCAGGCCTCTCTCGACAGCTACACTGAGGCCTGGCTGTTAAAAAAGTCTCTATCCTGATTTTATGGTGGCACCGGACAACTCCTCTGCCTTGAGTTGCGCCGGATGTCTCCACCAGCCATTCCAAAGCCATATCCCACCCCATGGATGACCTGCAAAAGCACAAGCTGGTTCCTGTGCGTGGCTCTTTATGGGGCAGTTTCCCACGCACCACAGATGTGAAAGTTATGTTTTCACAGAAATAATGGCTAGAGAGCTCATCTAGACAGTTCAGACAAATCAGTTGCTCAGTTCTGATTTCCTGTCCCCAATTCTATTTAAAATAATTTACCTTATAAGCTGCCAAGTGCAGAGCTGTAAATCCATTTCTTGTTAGTCTGGATGGGCGCAGCCCTTTCAGCATGAGAGTTCTGATGTGGGATTTGTTGCCTTCACAGAGAAAAGCAGAAAAAAAGACAGTTACAGGAAAGATGAGGTCAGAAGATCCTGCGTGAGTTTGAAGCAGAGAATAGATACCTTGACTGCTGACCTGAGGCAAGTAATAAAATATGTATTTTGAAACTTCAAAATGATGAGGTTGATGGAAATATCTCATTGGCCAGGACAATTCAGGTCTGGCCACATACAAGCTCACTATTTGTTCACACTCTAATGAGGATTTGGTAAGGGTAACTGAGCTTCTAGAGAAGCTAACTCCTCCTTTAGCATCCAGAGCATGCTGCAGAGAGCTCCATGAACCAGACAGTGCTTCTGGAACCTCTGGCTCCTCAGTCACTGAGCTCTTCTGCCATCTCAGACCCGGAGCACTGCCCTCCCTACACAGGGCATCCTTACAAGGACATCATTTTGGGCAGTGCTAATTGGGTCCATTAATGTGGCCCAGGCCAGGAGCTTTGCTCCGACCTTTCTGACACACAGTGAATAAATACATAAATTCAATAAATTCATCTGCCTTTTGAGTACTTGTGACAGTAGCCAAGGACAATGTCAGATCTAGTGGCTCTTTGCCCTTCTCTGAGTGCTCACAGAACTAATGATAAGTGTGTGTTTTCCTAAACTTCCTCTCAGCTACCCCAACGGTGCTGATATTCCCATGTATTAATGCATCTTTGGATAGGATCTTGCACTCAAAAATGACAAGTAAAAACCCACTAATTTTTCAGTAGTGCAGGATCAGGTTGTTCCTCATGGTGAACATCTAACTGAGATTGATAAAATCATTTATCCATGTCATTAGTCAGTACTTTGCAGAGCTGAAACCTCAGGGTATAAGTCTCTGCTTCTCTCAGCCAATTTCTGCTGAAAATTGTATAACAAGAGCAAAGCAAGTGCATGAACTAATGACTTTTTTGTGGATAACAGAGCAGCTGTGTGGATCCAAGTGGAAAATCCTACCATTAGTATGTTTGTACGAGCATCCCAGAACACATCTTGCCCCCTTCCCTTGTGTATTCTGACGTGCTGTCTGGAAAAGCCCTATCAGCTGATGTTTGTCACTAGAGCTTTTCAGTTGTTCTTCTTTTAATCAATGTGAAATAAAATACAGATATTTTCATTACAGTAGAAAAGTTGGTGCTGAAAGTATGGCAAAGTGCTGCCACAACAAGGCAGCTACAACAAGGTCCCTGTCCTGGAGCCCGAGCCAGGACAGAATCCAGAAACGTGGAGCCAGAAACGCGGAGCCAGGAGCGCTCTGTGATGGGTTTGGTTAATGAATGCACACAGAAGCAATTCAGCCAGGAGTGCTCTGTGATGGGTTTGGTTAATGAATGCACACAGAAGCAATTCAGCCAGGAGTGCTCTGTGAAACTGTAGCAGTCATGAGAGACACCTTAAACGAAATAAGAAAACTAGCATATGTAAGAAATCATGAAAAGACTCTTGCACTTGATTCCAGTTGGGATGATCTATGGACTTTCAAAAAGGGTTGGAAAACTATAACCTTCACTGTGTGTACACTTGTTAGTTTGTTCTTATTTTTCTGTTTAATTAAAATAGTGACATCTGCTGTACAGAATAACCTAAGCAATTCAGGATGAGCTGAACACCTGAGCAGGTCCTGCTGCATCCTCCACAGAGCTCGGTCAGACGGAGGATCAGCTGCACAACCCTCACGCCGGGCAGCTCCTGCAGCTCCAGCTGCACTGCTCCCCGAGAGCTCAGCCCTGCTGCCAGGCAGAGCAGAGCCTGCTGCAGCCAGGTGCCCTGCCCCACAGCTACACCTACCCCCACACACGCAGCACAGGTGCAGCAGCGAGAGCCCGTTCTCCGTGCGGTAATTCAGGTTCACTTTGCAGAAGGCTTCATCCGAGCTGAAAAAGGCATTTTGCAGGTGATTACTCCTTTCATCTTCCAGCACCGTGTGGGGAACGTTTAAAAGAGAAATCTCAGTGTAATTTTTTTGAGACACAAGGCTGAATTTATACCCAGTTTACAGTCTGTAAATCCAGAAATACTTTACTACTATCAGGTTGAGTGGCCCAGATTTGTTGTTTTCTGAGAAATCCGGCTAAGCAACCGCAATATATACATTCTAAATTTATCTAAATCAGGGGAAATAAGAGGAAAGACTCTTTAAAAATATAAACAATCAATATAAACTCAGCACATCTATTAATGCAATAATAACTATGATGTATTTTAAAAATACGTGTATTGATTTTAAAATGGTGAGTAGAACATGCATAGAGCAGGGGCCACCTTGCTAAATGAAAAGAATAACCAGGAAAAACCTATAAAAAAGTGAGTTTATATTCCCCAGATGAAATCACAGGGACAGTGATATAACTGTGCTTGCTTACAGGTTGTTAAATGAGACAGTACTTGGACATTCTAGCTTTTGTCATCGAGCCTTGTGGGTTTCCTTCAGCAAAGACTGATTTGTTAGTGATCCATCACACACTCTAAGTAATTACATTTGCTAAAAATTAAATAGACCTACAGTTAATATTGCTTTGGAGAACCTCAATTTTAGCCTGCCCATAGAAGTTTCCATTCAGTATCAGCACACCCATGACCCTGAGTTTGCAGAACACTTGGATTGGTGTAACTATAAACCCACCCTGAGGCAGGAGCAACCATTACACATATTTAACAAGGTTACAATAAAAAAAAAAAAAACAACAACAACAAAAAAACGTTTCAATACTTTTCTCAACTGATTTCCAGTCTGTGAGGTGGGAGCTTGCTGCACTGGAGCTTTGCAGGTAATGAACACATCTGTGTTACTCAGCCTGTGCTATCCTGAGAAAACCAATATTATCCTAACTTTGAATCCACTGCTTTTGTGTTTGCTTACAGTGGTGCACTTCAGCCATATTCCTTGTGCAGAAACACATCAGCAAAACTGAAAAGTGCACTGACAAATCATACATTGTACTAGAGCTAATTATTTTACCAAAGTATACAGGTGTTTGTTGTAAAATACTGGCATTAATAACCAGCAGCCACTAATTTTGGTACTCTGCTGGGGGGCTCTGCCCAGCACTGTGATGACACAGTCCCAAAAATAGACATAAGGAACATGCATTCCACACGGGAGAAACTCTGTCCACATAAAACACCTGAAACTGAAAATACTGTTTGATAACAAATAGTCATTTAAAATAAGTCAGTAAAGAGATTCACAGAATATTTTACCTGAAAACATGCTTTAACTCTGCCAGCTCCTTTTCCTTGATTTGCAGGTCGTCCTCCAGCCGCTCCGTGACTGTGGCATAGGATTCACTGACTTTCTTCTTCCATTCATCTACAACAAAAACTCCAAACTGATAAAGCACTTCAAAGCACAGAAATAATAATGTCGCCAATGCAACCAAACCACTTGATTTTTAAACACCCAATTGTACAATTTCATATATATTTCTATTAAAGTTTAAAATATTACAGCTATTAAACTGTTCCTGCTGCAGCCACTACAGAAACATATACAAGGATTTCAGAGACAGTGCATATGTATTTTCATATTAAATAATATTCAAGAGAAAACTTAAAGTTCAGGTTACATTTGCTAGTTCTTTTTTCCTCAGCACAGCAGAAAAAGGTTAGAGACTTAAAGGTTTTTCTCATTAAGTATGAGTTAAATCAACATAGTGTACAAGTTATTATGATCTTATATAATTGCCCAAATAAACTTGGTTTAGTAGCTTTTTTGTCTTGTCTTCTTTCACAGCCTGTATCTGGGTTAAGTTACGAACAATACCTGAGCCTTGAACTCAAGAGTAAACCAGGAATGAGTTATCTCCTGAAATACCATTTGCTCCTTGCTGATGGATGGATGGCACACTGCCTGTAAAAAAGTGACATTAGTTACCCGTGCAAGTCTGGGTTGGTCTAGATTTATAATTTCCCATTTGTCCAATTTATCTTCTTTGTTTCAGCAAAGTTCTTGCAGTAATATGATTCCCTGTTCTGGGGCAGCGACAGTCCTGCTGAAAAATACTTGTGATAGTCTCTGGCTAAAAATAAACATTGTGCCAAGAGGAATGTCATGCAACAATAGCACGGAGCGAAACAGCCTGTGCTGTCCACTGGGCTAACGCCACAGAAACACCCACCCAGCTTGCTTAAAAATCTCCATTCCCACACAAACACTTGCCTCCATCTGTTGAACACTTTACAACTGGTGGGAAGTGGTAATTTGGCAGCTTGCTAGTGATTTTGTAGAGAAAAGGGAATTTGAGCACCTGGATCCCAGGTGTTCTGCGAGGATCCCCAAGGAGTGCAGGGGGTCCCTGGCTCAGAGAGGCCAGGGATGAGTGCCACCCACAGCCCCCTGGCACTGGGGGTGGCACTGCGACCATCTGGCTATGGCACTTAGGAAGGGCAATATATGATTCAAAGTGAAATGCAAACACACACACATAAATATTTATATTTATATATTTATGTATTTAAAGTGTGGTGACTGACCTTGGCAGCTGTTCTGTGTGCGAGTTCTCATCTCAGTGAAGGATTTCAGGCAAGCAGACAAGTTAATAGAACACACATCTCTAAAACCTCCCACACGCTGCAGCCCACCGTAACAACCCTGCTGCCTCGGCAGCTCCTGGCACTGCCAGCCTGTCCTTTACTTGCACAAACTTACACACCAGTCCAAGGAGCTATTTCAGAAGAGTTTGCACCCCTGGCACTGCCAGCCTGTCCTTTTACTTGCACAAACTTACACACCAGTCCCCAATCCAAGGATCTGTTTCAGAAGAGTTTGAACTGCTATCTCAATGTATCCTGCCAGGCACCAGCCTGGCTACTGATTCCCACATCCAGGTGCCACACAGCTGGGAGAGCTGAGGTTTTACATGTCCTTCACAGGAGCAAAACAGGAGTCTTTATTTCAAATTAATCAGAACATATCCACAATTAACATAGATCATAGATCTATCATTCTTGAAGAAGCTGTAAGCTGCTCCCATAAACTTCATTGCCGTTCTGGTGACATTCAGGTATGTCCCAGGAAATGAAAAGAGTGCTAAAAGAAAATACATGTTCTCCAGAAGAAAGTGGAGGGAGCCTGGCCCTTGTAAGGGAGCAGGGGTTTGCAGTGGCTCCCCCGTGGCAGCAGATGAACAGCAGCACCGTGCTGTTATTTTTGCTCTCACAACATTAGAGAGGCCTTTGCATGGGGGCTCAAGTGCAGAGAGCAAAAAACAAAAGCTCTGACAGCAGAGGTTTGGGAACGAGAAGAGGCTGAAGTTCTGAGCTCGAGCAGAAACACCCTGACAAGGCACGAACACTGCTCTGCAGATCCCGCTGATCCTCGGGGCTTACTTCCTCTGGTCAGCTCCCCAAATCCTTCTGGCACAGAATCCTCCCAGCTGCTCACTTTTATTTCAGCTGCCTTCCCTTGTGCTCTTTGTTAAGTGCCCAGTTTCTCAGATTTCAGTTTCCTGCACCAAAGGCCACTGAAATACCCCTCTCAGGTTTCAGTATAACACAGGCAGCAGGGCTAAACCTCTGCTGATCACGGTGCCTGCTCAAGGCATTCAGGGAAATCATTGCAATCATGTTCATTATGAGCCCTATTATTGCACTACACAGCAAAACTAATTAAATAAAGCAAGCTGACATGAAAAAGAAATCATTAAAAGCTCATCTTGACTTTGAGATTGTACCAGCCTGAATTGCACTTCAGGATAGATGGAACCAGGCAATGATCTAGAGATAAATGAACATTGCACCCATCTGGGACACTGTGAGGATCAGCCAAAATCAAACTGCAGGTTTCAGTAGATGACTCCCATCCACAGAGGTCCTGCACTCTCATGACTGCATCCTTCATCACTCAGACTGCAGGAAAATCATGGGCCAGGATGCTGTGATGGTCTTGTTTTAAGAGCCTGGTACTGGAAACCAGCAACACACAAATTACTGACCTTGCTGAAGTTCTACTGGGTGGCCTCGCACAAGTTTCTGTTTCCTTGGGACACACTTATCCCAGCTGGCTGCACGAGAAAACTGTTGTCATCTACACTAACAGCAGACTGTGGAATACAAAGATTACCTGGAGCTGTAAATGCAATATGGATAAAATGCATGCATGGATTGAATACCTCAGCCTTGGACCAGACCTACCCCAGGAAGGGTTGTCTGCAGGCTTTTTGATTTTAATAAGATGTGCTCACACTGTAGCATGACCCTTGCTGTAAGGACTGCCATTTGTAATAGCTAAAAATGTACACACTTCATAAATAGCTGCAATACAGAGAACTGTAGGATCAAAGAAGCATGTGGACAGAAAAAGCCCTCCCAGACCATCAAGTCCAACCATTCCCCTGGCACTGCCATGGCCAACACTGACCTCTTTCTCCAAGTGTCACATGCACGTGGCTTTTAAAACCTCCATATGGGAAAATAATTAATATAACTCTCTAAAAATAATAAAATATATATTGTAATGTTCTTCATAACATTTTACATTAAACTTGACTGCAGTTAAAAAATTAAGAATGGTACACCAGATATTCCCATACCTGCAGAGTAAATCCATTACACCTGCTGATGTTATCCAGGGCTAATACTGATCAAAATCTGCCTTCTCAACTTGAAACAAAAATGTTCAGAGTAAGAGGAAAGCAGTGGGTGACACACAGAATTAAAGCAGTGCAATGTTTCTTACCTGGTAAATCCATGCTTATTCTGTTACAACAGATAATTTTTTTCATTAAAACCTTTGCCTCAAGATCTGACCTGGGGGCTAGCTGTGCTAGTCCATGGCTACCACCAGGATGACACTGCTTTTTTTGTCTTGGAATTCACACTGCTCCCTAAACCACAGCAGCTGCTGCTGGCCCAACCTACCGCAACCTTTTCCACAAGCTGTTCTGTCACTGCTTTTCCTCATTCTCTTTCCCCAATACTTATGTGCCAGAAATAAACCCACTTCCTATTTTTATCCAGTTTGCTTTCAGTAATGAAATCAATACCTGGTACTCAGGGAATTCAGAGCAAATGCAATTGCAACAGTTAAAGTGGATAACCATGTTAAAAGGATGCATTTTGCTGTTGCCAAACACTCACCTGGCAGCACAGCAACCCTCAGGGAAGTCTGCACCAAACAAATTAAGGTCTCAAACTCAAGATGCAAAGTCTGCATCAAACACGATTCTCCTAAAATCTTTTGTGCAACAACAGATGAATAAATCATGCAAACAGGATGATATACAAATGACAACTCCATGCCCTGTGACTACTTTCACTTTGTGACTTAAAGGGTTTATCTTGGACTTGAGTGCTCCCCAACCTACTGCTTCCATTGTTTAACTAATATTTCATACTGACTTTTAGACCCTCTATTTGCTCAGAAAATCTTATTCCTTTGAAGCCAGCTCCAGCAATTCCCAACCTCCACATTTAACTTCTTTGTATCTCTCCTTGGAAGGTTTATTAAGGAGGAAAAAACCTAGAGCAGGTTAAAGAAGGGTGGGTAATGCTCAGGGGACATTACTCTGCTGCCTCGCAGGTGGCATAAGAAAGGTGCCATTTGGGATTTCAGTCAGCAGGGAGATAAACACTGTCATCATGAGACATTAAATAAAACATGAAAACCCACAGAGACATCCAAGAGAAAAAGATGCATCAGCTAAATCACGCTGATACACTGCACAGCATTCTCCCAAAAATAGCAGAGTTATCTGTCTGGAGATGGATCTTGGGCATCTAAACTAGAAACAGGAGGACTTAATATTAACTTTATTTGCAGAAGGGGGAGAAGGGGAAGTTTCTCTGAAGATATGTGCTGTGGTGCCACTCACAACAAACTTCTCTGGCTTTTCCTCCGCCCCACCAAGGACAGCAAAGACTGCAACAGCTCAGTCTAGAGAAAGACAAGGTGCTGCTTTTTGCATGGCACACATCAGTCAATCCGTGGGTAACAAAGAGCTGGCAGCTTCTCCATCACACTGCCAGCTTCCAACAACTACTAGGGAAAAAAAAAATCATTATCTCCTGATGACTGGTGTTGACCCCAGCACTTACGAGTCACAAGGGGAAGAATAATCACTCATGCCAGTCTTTTTCCTTCTGATAAAAACCAGGAAAGGATAAAAAGTTGCAAAACAAAAGAGAAAAATGTATTAATGCCCAAGACATTAAATTAAAAGCACTTTTAATCATTTTACTTCTACCTAACTACTGTTTGAAACTGTATTGCAAAATGGCAGCATAAAAAGAGAGAAACACAAGTTGTTGTATTATTCCACATTGCTGGAGCTAATATTGTACCCTTTAAAAGCTTTTAAAGCTGTTTTCAGCCAAAATACAATTTTTTCTGTATTGTATTCTGAGAAAAAACTACAGGACATAACATGCAACCCACAGAAGGTCACCATCCCGGCAGGTTCCAGCCTGGAACCCCACCTGGTGGGTGCTGTGGCCAGGATAACTCAGCGGAGGCTCAGACCAGGTCCGATCTCCCAAGCCATTCCCAGCTGCAGGCAACCAAGCAAGCTCAAGTGATTTCAGCTCTTTAGTGATTATCAGCTCTGTGATTTCAGCTCTCTTGGCTCGCTTGTGGCCGTAGCAGACGCAGGGAGAGAGAGGAGAAGGCTGTGTGAGGGTCAGGATTCTTTATTAGGGTGTTCCACAAAGGTTCTCAGTGACAGCTCTTCTGCCGAACCAGGCAGAATTAGGGGTTTTATACCCTACAGGGGTTTGGGAAATTGTCCAACAGCAAGGGTCAGGGCAAGTGACCTACAGGCTTACAGAGAGATAAGCAGGGTCCCAAAGTGGAAGAGAGGGGCTTCTAAGGCCCGGGTCATCACGACTTGGCATTTCCTAGCTCAGGCTTCTGCCCTCCAAGGAGGCCTTGCAAGCCCTGGGCCTGCTACAGGTCACCAAACAGTGTTTTTAGATCTGAAATATTTCCCTATTTTCATCAAAAGAACACTTTATCTGGATTTGCTGCTTTATTAATGTTATGCAATTTCTTCATTTCTACTTCACTGAGATCAGAGAAGAGATCTGTGTACTTTTCCCTTAGGATTCTTACAAGCTGGGAAGTAATCAATCCTCCACAAATGAAAACAGGTTTGTTCAAGTACTTTTCATTCTATAATCAGACTTCTCTTTTTGTCTTTGTAGGCAGATTTCATCATAAATTTGCTTCCTAAAGTTCAGCATGTCTTCTACATCTTTGTAGGTGAGCATTTCTTCAACAGACAAAAGCTGAAAGCCATTCAGTTTGAAAGCTGACTTGTGCTGCACAGAATTCAGCATGTTCAGCGACATCCTAACTGATTCACTCAGAGTAGAACAAACAGGGAAAATCCTTGCAGTCCACAGCCCCAGACGTGTGTCCTCACTGGAGAAGAGCTGGTCTGAAGCCTCTAAGCTCCAGAGGTCAAGGCATTCTGGTAAGCTGGCTCCAAAAAACTGGAGGGAGTGTATATCTGACAGCAATTTCACACTCTTTTTCAAGTCGTCGCCTACACTGAACACCATGGTGACATACTCCACTCGATCAGTAATTTTCACACTTACTGAACTCAGGAAGCAGTTTGAGGGTACATCTACACTGAAATTTATGTGGGACCCACTAACAATGCTGCCTCTCCCTACTGAGACCCCGGGCCCAATTCTGGAGTACTCAATGACAGAGCCAGGCCCTATCACGCACCCGGGCTCCAGGACGCTCTGGATGACACTCAAGTGATCCAAGGTCTTGGCTGTGTCAGGGAAGATGCTAAAAGCCACAGGCTGCAAGTTAAGCTCGTATCTCAGTTTGCTCTCAGCAGTAAAATGAAACAAATACTCCTGAGTGGTCCCAATGTGGTAGAACTGGGAGTTGTTGAGGACTATGACATTCAGGGCAGTGCCTCGCAGGAGGGAGTACAGCTGCTGCCGCATTGCCACCAGCCCTGAGTCCTCCTTGGAGACATTATTTGTGTTTTTGGTGTAATCTGGAGTGGCTCCAGGCCCCAGGGCCTGGAGAAAGTCACCATATGCATCTATTTCACAGCAAAGCGTGCCCACGTGCTTGTAGAACTCCAGCAGCTGCTGGGCAGTGCTGTGGTCAATGTAGAATACACTGTCTGTGTACACACACTCCGAGGCCCTGGCCGAGTCTCCACAGCCCCCAGGGGAGCCGAGCTGAGGGCGATCCCCCCTCACACACACTGCACCACTCTGCTGCATGGTCTCCAGGTCAGGCTTGTGCAGGAAACGATAGCACGATCCGTATTCCAGTCCTCCCTTTCCCGAAAAACTGGACGGATCTAGCACGAACACGCCGTGCGTGGTCCCGACGGCCAGATCCGAGGGGTGAGCCAAGGCAGTAAACCCAGGTCTGTCCAAGGTGATGGTTTCTGTGACCCCGGCGCTGTACAGCTCTATGTCATCCGCACACGTGACGAGCACCCCGGGTTTCATGTGGCGCGGGAAGTCGATGTACATGGCCAGCTTCAGCTCCAGCATCTGGTACGCGGGCTCGCCCAGCGGCAGGGCTGTGAAGATCTTGCCCAGGGCACTGGCATTTGGCAAACGCTGGCTGTAACCACCTGGAAAAAGACTCCTTTAGTCACACAGAGACACTGCACGTATGCCAGCAAAAAACTAAACCCAGGCAGCTATTTCACAGGCACACAAAAGCATTAACAACCTCCCAGCTTGGTCATACACCAAGTCTCAAAGCACATCTGACCTTGTGTCCAAAACGCAGCCTGCCTTACACAGCTCATAATAAAAGTGTGATTGATTTTGTTACCTTTTTGCTTCAGAGCTACCTGTCACTGACGTGACAAAAGGAATAATTACCTGCTTTTTGCTTGGAGGAGAACCACCACATTCCTGATGGGAATGATGAATCAAAAAGGCAAAGGTTTGGTCACAACACTTGTTATCACTTGGTTTCTTTCTCCTCTGCAGCACTGATGTTCTTCCACATCTGGAAGTGGCGTGACTCAGTGGATAAGCAGGCAAGTATTCAGCCTGCCCAGAGGCATGAGGAGCCCAAGGTCCCCCAGAGAGGGCTGTGTTCCTTAAATGGATGTTTCGAGGCAGAAATTTAAATCACACCTGTGAATCACATCTTTCTCACTGACTGAGCAACTTTAGTGCCGAGAAGAAATGCTGAAGTGACAGCAACATCTTGCAAGCAACAACCTAATTTCAAATGGTCAGACACGTGGGTTACTTTTCTCAGGGAACTGTATTTTGGACTCCAGCTCCTCTACCATTTTATTATTTTAAGGAAGAACAAAATAAAAGGTGTCACTTTAGAGCAAAATATATAAAACTGAATTTACCAGAATGGATTAGCAGCACAGTGAAGGAAGTCCACTGATCACCATACTGCTCTTCCAAGCACCGAAGGGCATGAAGAGTTGATCCACCATTTCCTAAAGAAAAAGTATTTCAGTATCTGTGAGAAGAGCTTCAGAACGCCTGTTCTGACAGGTGAGGTGTACTGCTGCCCAGCCAGAGACATGGGACAGTCTTTCTGCCGTATCATGGTTGACAGGATCATGCACAGATGCTGGTGGACAGTCCCTCTGGAAGTCTGCACTCTCTGAGGGGATGGCATCCTGAGCAGACAGCTCCAGGGAAATCTCTGTGATTTCCCCTCCCAGTCACCTTGCACAGCCCCACCATTTGAAGCCTTTAATCTATTAAATAGGCCATAACACAGCCACAAAACAGCTCCTGTAAGAAACAAGTCACATAAAAGCCGGCTAACAGATTCAAGGCAGTGTGCAGAAGTACTCCTGACATTTACAGTACGGAAATAAGGAAGATTTGGGATCTGAGGAAATGGTTTGGGATATTTTACAAGCTCCTGCAACTTAAAACTGCCAGATTCCTGAGAATTAGCCTCTACATATTACTCTACACCGCAGATAATACTGAGATTATTTAATGTGTACATCGAAATGAACAGGAATTCAGAATTACAGGATGGTATTACGAGCAGTGAGACCAGATTTACATCACCACTGCAGTGTACTACAGCATGATCAGACTGTTGAAATAACCAGGGTAAGTACGGATGTGTAACACAGGAGCTGGCGCTATCCCATACCCACAGGACCGGCTCTGAGGAGGGCACAGCTCGTTCAGCAGCACCACCGCGGCCCCACGGGTGCTCCCGCCGCCCGCCATCCCCGCACCGAGCCCCGGCCCGCGGGGTGCGGAGCGGCCCCACGCACCGATCCTGGGCCCCGGCGGGTCGGCGCACACGAGGTACCGGACGGCCCTGGGCAGCTGCTCCCGCCGCAGCTTCTCCGCCAGCTGCTCCCGGAACGCGCCCGCCTGCGCCGCGTCCGCCGCCGTCAGCACCACCACGTCCCACAGCTCGCCGGGCCGGGCGGCCGCGCCCGGCTCTGCCGGGCTCTGGGCGCGGCTCGGGGGCCGCTCCCTGCACCCGCCGCGGGTGGAGGCGGGCGCCCGGTTTGTAAATCCTGAGGAGCAGAGTCCGAGCCGCGCCCGGACTCGCCCGTTCGCCGCCCGCCCTGCCCGCTTCTCCGGCCGCGGCCGCAGCGCTCGGGGCTCGCAGCCGCACCTAGCAGGCTGCCAGCGCCTGCTCGCTCTGATAGCGACTGGCAGGAGCCACGCAGCTGAAGGTTTTTCGCTCTGCGGTTCCTTGCCTCGGATATTGTGGGGTTTGATCTGCGGGTTCCGTTTGTATTCAGAGTCTGTTGAGATTACAGATACCAGATGCAGTCAGAGGGGAATGAAAGAAGGCTTTGCTGTGATAAGATCTTATTGTACACAAATCTTACAATAAAAAGTAGCTGTAAAAGCACAATGGGAGCTACTGAGGGAAAAAAAAAAAAAGGATTTATGAAGTTAAAAAAATGTACGATAAATCCATAGTTTTTCGTGATTGTAAACCGCTGACAGAGAAGATTAAGGAAAAAAAGATAAATGCTTCACTGTGCTTCCTCAGTGTGAGGCTGTGGTGCAGGTGACAGCAGTCCTCATCAGAGCAGTGCACACCACAAAGATCCATTTGATCCTTCCTTGTGCTCTCGACTCACTCCAGTAAGGACGATGGTCTCTCCTGCTGGAACTGCGCCTCTGCTCTTTGGTACGGGGTTTTCATTGCTGGCAGCAGCGCTGCCCAGCCGTTCTGGCTTTTCCAGGAGTGCTTTTTTCTGCTCAGAGCCCAGGATCTCCAGGCCGTGCACATCTGCGGCCCCTCGCCGGGCTGTGCAGCGTTCTCATGCTGGGGAGCTGGACCCAGCACCTCGTGCTGTGACTACAGGACACAGTCCGAGCTGAATTTATCACTGAGCACCTATCCCCTCACTCCCCGCTGTACTAGAGTAGTGCAGTAATAAAACAAGCGCAGGCTTTTGTTTCTGAGCACACTTATTCCACCAAATTCCATCAAAATGTGTGAGGAAGAGGATTCCCACACCTGTGGTGTGAGCTATGCTGCCAGTGGAAGAGCCTGAGTCCCTCCAACACCTCAGATGGAAAGTGCTCAAGCCCTGAATATTTATGGGAGTGCTGAGATTTGATGTCATTTTTGTAATCTAAGCTCTTGCAGAGGCACAGTGAGAAACTACTTGTTCTCAGCAGTGATGGACCTGTAACACCAGACCCGCTGCTCAGCTTTGCCTGGCTTAAATAGTAACAAAATATAACTACTAAAGTAAAGTCTCTGATTTAGCTCAGATTTCCTATAATCCCACCCAGAACAGTAAATATCTGGTATTTCAAGGTGAATTAAATGTGTTGATAGGTGCTGTGAATCTGTGCTCTTACTGGTCCTTTTTCTCAGAACTAGATTTTAAATGCTGCATAAAAATGGGAGGAAATGTCTACATGGTTCAGGTGGCAAAAATAAACAGGTGTGGTGCTGGTTTGTGCCATGCAGGGAGAATTTCCTCACCGAAAGGGTGCTCAGGCTGTGGCAGGGGCTGCCCAGGCAGGTTGGGAGTGCCCATCCCTGCAGGTGGCACTCAGAGCCTGGGCTGGGGACAGGGTGGGCATCGGGCACAGCTGGGTCTCTGTAGGAGTGACAGGGTTAGGATGGATGGGATGGATGGGATGGATGGGATGGGATGGAGATGAGAGATCTCTGGAGCCAGGTCTGGAACTTGTGGTTGATTGCCAAGGGCTGGGTGCAGAGAGCTGCCAGCCACAGCTCAGAGCAGGCCAAGAGAAGTAAAGAGAGTGGTAAAGAGAGAGAAGGCAAGAGCATGGTAAAGAGAAAATGAGAGCGAGGTTCCCATTACAATACCATAACTCTTCTTCTGTGCTGAATATTCTAATTCTCACTAGCCAATCTAGTACAAGATACAAATCCTATAGCATTTACATACAACCTATAAGAATCATTACATTACCATACTATGTTACATTTTAAACCCTAAAATCTGCTCTTTGGACCCTTTCTGCCAAGCTGGCAGGGTCTGCTCTGACCCCTGGACCTGTCTGCAGGCAGAGGGGATTGTTCCATCAAAAGGGGATTACCTTCAACAGCCGTGCCTTTGTTTTCCAGTTGTTCAGTAACTAAGGTACCTCAAAGCTTGCCTTCAGTACCTTCAACAGCCGTGCCTTTGTTTTCCAGTTGTTCAGTAACTAAGGTATCTCAAAGCTTGCCTTCAGTTCAATCTCACTTATAGTTTCCATATTTTCAACCTCTTTTGCCAGGCAATCGTATTTATAAGGCTTTCCTGTTTCATCTTCCCCGGAGGCCATCATCTGATCCCAGAGGTGTTTTCCAGCCCCGCTGATCCTGTGACTCCGTGCCCAGGACCTGCAGAGCGTGGTCCTGCTCTGCTCCCCTCCCCTCTATCCCCACACCTGGCACAGCCCTTGTTCCTGCCTGCCAGCGCTCATTAGTGCTGTCTCTGCTTGATTAGTTTCCCAGTTCTCACACATGCAGTTACTTATGGTGTGGGTTTATTTTGCATAAATTATCTGTGTATCTGTGCCACAGTGGAAATGTCCCCACTGCATGCTGGTGGCCAGGTCAGCTCATGGAAAAATAACTTACATGTGTTGTTATTGGTATACTACTGTATATTAGTATAAATATTGTTACACTGGTGGTATTATAAAAAAAGGGGATACAATTCAGACCATGTGCCTGTAAATAACCTTTCCCTCCCTAAAATCTTTCTGGGTAGAAGAAATTATTTTTTTTAGCAATATATAATTTGGTAAAAAAGCTTCCACAAAAATAGAGGTAAACATTTTATAAACATTTTATTAAAGTCATATGTAAGAAAAATGTTAAATATTTTCCAGGCACATCAGTTGTGACTATGCTGGGCTTAGATACCTGTCAAAGGTAATATCTGCAATTTATTGGAGACAAAGCAATTGAAATGCTTAGCAGAAGATAAATGATCTTTTTAGCTGGAGTATAGAGTCCATAATTACAGTGGGAAACAGATCAGGAAAAATAGCATTCCATCATTTCTCCTGTTTGACATTTGCAGAAGTTCAGGGTATTTATTTAATATTTAAACAGCCCATCTCAGGAATGTTTTCAATGTTTGATTTGGTTGAGCACTTCCCTGACACCCTTCATCATTCACCCAGATTATTTTTGCAGGCATACATACAACATTTTAAGATTCTGTCTTTTTATCTGCTGTGTGCTGTACCTGGACAGTTTGTTAAACTGCTAATGAGTCCCACGGGGCAGTGTGTTAGAATTAAACAGACATTGATACCTGCTAGAAATAAATTTACAAAGCCCAGAGAAAAAGTCTCTCTCTCCCTATGTACAGAGTCTGAAGCTGTGCTGTCACACTCCGGGCTGGGCGCTGGTTGCCTCCTCCCTTCGCTGGTGGGCAAGCTGGCACCTTGCTGGCACTGCAGGGCTGTTGGAGCACCGTGCCCAGTGGGATCCCAGCTCAGGAAGCACCTAGAGCTGCTGGAGAGCCCAGGGTTGCCTCCTCCCTTTGCTGGTGGGCAAGCTGGCACCTTGCTGGCACTGCAGGGCTGCTGGAGCGCCGTGCCCAGCCATGAAATCCCCAGCTCAGGAAGCACCTGGAGCTGCTGGAGAGCCCAGGGGGGGCCACGGAGCTGCTGCAGGGCTGGAGCCCCTCTGGAGCCAGGCTGGGAGAGGAGGATGCAGGGAGAGCTCAGAGGCCCTGCCAGGGCCTGGAGGAACTTAGGAAAATTGGGAGAGTGACTTGTACATTGGCAGATAGTGATAGGACAAGGGGGAATGGTTTTAAACTAGAGAGGAGAGATTTAGATTGGAGGTTAGGGACAAATTCTGACCTGTGAGGGTGGGCAGGCCCTGGCACAGGTGCCCAGAGCAGCCCCTGCATCCCCGGCAGTGCCCACGGCCAGGCTGGAGCACCTGGAACAGTGGAAATGTCCCTGCCATGGCAGGGTGGCACTGGGTGGGCTCTGAGGTCCTTCCCAACCCCAACCTGTCTGTGATTCTGTGAACTGTAGGGAATTAAAATCAATTGCCTCTCAAGGTTTTTTGAGAAAAACACTTCACTGTTGGTAGATTAGGTTATACTGTCCAGGAGATGGCACCATACATTCAGTCTTTTTTTAAAAAGCCAACCCAACCCCAACCACAGTAAAATCTTCATAAAGTATGGATGGAATGCTTGCAGAAGTCCAATGTGTTATCATGACAGTGTTGTGCACATGTTTCTATTTTTGATATAATCACCAAATATTTGATAACTGCTACTCCTAGTGTAAATCAGTCTTTGAGAAATGGCTGGTGAGAAGCAGAGTGGAGGATTTCAGGAGAAATACTCCAGTGGAGTATTCAGTGAGTGGGAGTCTGTTTCTGACTGTAGTGTGATTTTTGAGCCTGAAGAGCAAGATGGGGGGATGGGGTTGGTTTGTTCCGATAGGAACACGAGATCCTGTAATCCAGGCTTTACACTAAAAGTGATGATACTTTTAGTAGGATTGATAGGATTGGATCCAAGTTCCCTGATAGCAAATGTACCTGAGAAATGTTTCTTTTTTCTCTTTTGTTTTGGTGGGGTTTTTTACCTTGATTGTTTGTTCGTTTTTATATGTTTGGGCTTGTTCTTTGCTGTTTCAGCCACCTGAGGATCTCCCCTTGGGCTGCCCTGGCGAGGGTGGTGGCTGCATCTGCAGCTCAGCTGGGCTCTGGCTCAGCCCCAGGACCCACCTTGGCCCAGCCTGGGCGTTCCTGGGCAGGGCTGGCTCCTGGCACCCGCCCAGGTCTGACCTTGTGGCTCTGTACTCCTGTGGAAGTGAGGGCTTCCTAGCAGAAACTGGCTTTGCATTCTCCAGGTGCGCTCCCTGAACAGTGATGCTGATGCAGGAAGACAGGAATGATTATTTTGTACTGCTCCTGGCAGCAGTATCAATATTCTTATTTTCTGTTCATTCCCAGCACTTTCCCTTTTCAATAGAGCACTTTTTTCCTTTAATACATCACTTTTGTTTCTGTTGCACTTATTTGTTATATATTATTGTCTATTGGTAGCACAAATCTCTTTTGGGATTTTTTTCTTCAAAGGCAGGGAAGGAAACAGAGAAAGAAGAGAGATTTTCTTCTGCTCTTGGGGCTGGTCAGTGCTCCTGGTCAGCCAGGGAGGCAACTCCACTGGAGCCTGTGTGCCATGTCCTGTGTGGGACAGATAAGCCCAGGGATTGCTGAGCTCTTCTGGAGCAATTTTTCTAATGCATTAGCCACAAACTGTCTTTCTTCCTTTCAAAGTCAGGCAAGTGTGTCTCATCCTAATTATGTTCTTTCCCCTCTAACCCATTTTTGTTCAAGTTGTTGCTATGGGCAATTGTGACAATGTTCTCCTTCCATTGCTACTATATAGAGGGGATCTGCTACAATTATTGCTTAAACTGAGTTTTTTGTAATTGAAAATGTTAGAACACATATTGACCAAATATGCTGGCTGTGGGCCAGGCTGAAATGTGCCTTCTGTCTCCTGGTCATCCTGCTGTTGGGGCTGTGCAGGGCAGGCTCCAGGGGTGCAGGCAGGAGGGCAGGCACAAAGCAATGTGATGCTAGTTTCAAACTTTTTGCTGTATTTCCCATTTATTTGAAAAACAATTAATCTCGACTCTTGCATGACCAACAGAGGAGATGTCTCAGGTCTGTGTCAGTGGGCAGACATGTGGGAACACTTCCACAGCACCTAGATTTCCCTTCAAAAGTGAAAAAAAGTAGAGAGACTTACAAATAATTCTCTCTTTTTCCACCCCTGTCTTTAATAAAAGTCTAACAATGCTGTGTTGAAATGAGTAACTGTTAGATGTATAATTAAACCTCCCTGTGTAATCTGGGGTGCTGCAAGATCGAATGAACCATGAATTTCCCTTCTGGATATATGACCTTACTGAAAGCTCTCAACATTTTTCAGCAAGAAAGACTGAAAGATGTGGGTTTTTGAAGAATGGGGAACTTATAGACTACAAAGCTGCCTAATATTGGCTCTGAAAGGAAAACAGCAAAGTCTACAAAGAGCTATTGTTGGTTGTATGGACATCCAGGAGCCAGTGGTGCCGGGAGCTGATGGCTGTGGAACAACTCCAGTGTTGTGTTGCTGTTCTCAGACCCTTGTTTACAAGTTCATCATCAAGATTTAGTCCTGTAATGGTTTCTGGTTAGTGAAAAGATGAAGAATGTTACCAATTACATTTTAGGTGCAAAAAGTGGGTGCTTGATTTTTCTTGTCTTTATTGCATCCTTAAAGGAAGGAGAAAAGACACGAGGAGCCTTTGGCAGACGGGGAAGGAAGCCAGGCTCCCAGAAGACTTTTTAACGTGGCTCTAAAGAGATTCCAGGCACTGCAAAACAGCAAAGCACTTTTTAAACTGCAGAGAAAAATAAATATTTTTAAAGGATTTCAGCATATTTAACATAAAACTTGTTGATTTATAAGAGTCTAATTATTACAGTCATTAAAAGACCACGATTATCATTAAAAGGCTATTATCAGAAACAAAATGCTAAGAACAAATGATATATATTGAATAGGATCCGACGTATTTCATATAACATATAATACTGCAAAATAAGCTGACACGTAGCCATGGCAATGACTTTTAGGTTACCCTTTTTGATGCCTTAATGCACTGCTCTGCGTGTTTCAGTGTCAAGCCTCTGAACAAGCCCAGCACTCAAAAGCTCCAGCTGAGAGTGAATATAAAGTAATAATTATGTACCTAACTGGTCACATGCATGGATAAATGGTGTTTGTGGGCACAGGCCGTGTCCCTGGGAGCCTGAGCTGTTGGAGGGGAGCTGGAGGTATGGGACAGGAGCTGGAGGTGAGATTAAAATGACTTCAGGTTTGTGGTGGAGGACAGTTTCTACATATCAGACTCCATAAAAGCAGAAGGTCTGCATGCGTGGTGGGTGATGAACTCTCATGTACCCTCTCATTAGATCACATGGGACAGGAGCTGGTCTTGGTCCAGATGCTGCAAAAGCCATTGAAATTTTTTATTGCAGTCTTTTATTGCAGCTGCCTCACTGAGGAGTCAGGGATGGAATCATCCACGTGAAATCCTTGCTGGCAGTGCGGAGTTCCTTGTGAAGAGCCTCTCCTTGTCACACCTGGTGTTTGTTGCTGTCTGGGCTCTCCCCATTTGCACTGGCTGGCGCTGGTGTTGGGCTCCTGTGGCTGCAGCTGGTGGGGGGACCTGCAGGAGTGAGGAGATGGGGCTCCCCAGAGGCAGCTGTCACCCAAATCCCCCTGGGGAGAAATCCAGGTGTC